AGTGAACATGGCACGTTTGTACTCGTACCTCTTAGCTTAGTATAAACTAAATCCAGTTGTAGAATATCCATTTCTACATCGTAGCTGCGCGTTTTGAAAGCAGTCCCGTTTCATATCTAATTACTGCCTATCAAAGCATTTTATTTATAGGCAAATACGACATAAAGGTACACATACCTATCTGAAATACACAAGTTCAAATGACGTGGAAAAGGTGGGTCTACGCTAGAGGAGCCGAAAACAAGCTGAGCCGCTCTACTCGCGGTATCAAGTGTGGACGTACATCGAGCCTACAACATGCAGATCGATGCATGCGATGCAAATCCCTTTGTGTTCGTCAAAAACCGACAATAGGCGGAGCACAGTCGAGTACGAATCAAACACTCAGGCGCGCTCGTTCGAGGCTTGTATGTCGGTCCACACTACACGAATTTGTGCTCGGCTCATGCTCCGCTCGTGCTCAGCTCGTCCAGCGTAGACCCACCAGAAAAGTGAGCATATAAATAATGACAGTGTTTTCTTAGTCACATTAAACAAAATCTTTGTTAGATTGTTAAAGACATTGTTCGCGGTTTACAAAACAAAGTAATAATAGTCATCTCGTCCGCTCACTCGAATTTAGGAGTTACGGAGAACTGAGCGTATCATAGTGCGCCATTTATAAAGGCCGCAGAGTAAACATAAAAAAATTGTTGTCGTTACGAACATTTTGTAGAAAACTTAAAAAATCTGCTATTTATTTAAAAAAAATTACTAAGTAAAAAAACTAATTTTGTTTGTGTATTTCATTATACATGGTTCTTCTTTAAGAGCTACATATAAGAATAAATCGATTAACGATTTATGAAAATGTTTTCGATACATGCAATAAATAATTTAATACTTACTAGGTACGTTCGGCAGGCTAATAAATGCATTAGTATAATAGTTATATTAGAACAAGAGTTAAAACTATTTAGTTGACCCATAAAATGGGAAAATATACACTAATACGGCGAATATTGAATTAAATTGTTGTTTTACATTTTTTATAACAGGAATTTAGTTATGAAATGGGACTAAAACAAGCTATTTATACCATAATTTTAATATAACTCAAGTGATATTTTACTTAATATAGTATAAATATGTACAGTTAAAGTATATTCAAATAAAGGGTAAATCTATGGAGTGTCTCCATGGGTAAATCTACTGATTCTAATATATTGTTCATAACATAATACTGCTGTCAAAATATAACTACAAAAGCTGTTCTTAAATATTTAATACATAATAATACATCAAACAATATGTTACACTGCATGACATAGATACTTTGTGATTATATGTAAAGTTATAAAAAACTCTTGTTTTTATAATATAAACATTTAAAATTTTAAAAATAAATTATTTAAATTATTAAAATTTTTGTCTGTCTGTTTGTTCCCGCTAATCTTCGAAACGGCTGTATGATTTTGACGAGACCTTCACTGGCAGACAGCTGATGTTATAAGGAGTAACTAAGGCTACGTTTATTTTAGAAAAAGAATTAGGGTTCCGCGCAAAAAAAAAATTAAAACACTAAATTACACGCGAAGTTGCGAGAAACAGCTAGTTATATGTATAATAAATCCTACGATATAAATTAATAGTAAAACACAGTTAAAGGCTAGTTTGAGAGCCTGTGGATTCAATTAAAATTTTTTGTTGTAATACTTATATGTCAAAATAAAAAAGTTTTTCTTTATTTTTTTTTCTTGTGGTACATTATACTAAATCCAAAAGTAACCAAACCAAGCGCTCCTAAACATGGAAGACTAACAAAGCGAACGAAATGGTGGATCTGTTATTTACGGGTACCAAATGTTTTTGCTTTTATTCTGCAAAGATAACTTTTCTTATACGAATATTTTGTTATTTGTTTTTGATAGTTGATACACATTATACATAAGCGTCACGCAGATAGTTTGCGGATGACCACCCCTCTTACTTCCGCCGTCTATGTCCAGCGCTTGTCTGCTCAACAGCTAAATAGTGTTGCCATATTTTAAAACGCTGGATTTTCGTGCCTGTTTATCATATATTTAATGTATAGAAGTTGGGTTTGATACGCAAAAGTGATGCGATTTTGTTTATAAAATGCCCGAGCATGTATACCATTAATGGAAACAAGCTCCGAAGATGATATACTACAGATATCTACGCCGTGCAGTGTGACATCTGTTTTTTTTTTTATTAAAACAACGGCTTAATCCTATAGATACTGCCCAGCTGCCAAAAACATCACTCAAAAGTTACATATATACAATTTTCTTAAATAAAATAAATCACAAAAATGTCGGAATTAAAACTAAATAAAGTCATACCTACTAAACTAATTTTAATTTTGTGTCTAAAACACTAATCCATGTATAATATAGTTCTTTCTCAAGCTATTAAGAGGTGCATTTAACACCTATATGACATATTACCAATCACTAAATTTAGTAATGTAATTTTTTTTGTAAAATAATAAAATAACCCTTATTATCTAACTATTGCATGAGACCTTTGGCGCAATAACGCTATCCTGATTTGGGAATTAAAATAAGCATTAAAATAGGTAGGTAAGTAGGTAGTGATATATCACTGTGAGGTGAATCTCTTATAATAACAACACACCAATAATAAGTAGCTAGTATTTAACACTAACTGTTTCAGCTGAAGGAACATTTTAGAGTTTAAATTTCGAAATTAATGATATTTTCTATTAAATTCAGTTTAGTTCTATTTTTTGTTTGTAACACTGACAATAAAAAAAGCAAATACTTATGTCTTTGAAAAATGGGGGGGGGGGGGGAATGTATAAAAAGCAAATATTTAATTTGTATATTACTATCGAAGGTACTCGGGCTACCAGACGTCCGTAGCGTAAAGGACGTCCTCTATTTTACAGACAAAAATTGAACGTTGAGGTGGCGCGCAATATTAGAGAGACAAATTGCATTACATTGCGAATTATTATTTTTTTAATGAAAATCGCTTCTGATATAACAGAATTTTATTGAAAATAATACGATATCTTCTATTTTTACCCTATGCCCTTTATTTAATCTTTATCAAATCCTCTAAAACATAAAAACGGAGCTGGCAACCCTAGTACTTACGTTTCGTATCTCGTTGCATCGTACATATACATATTAAATTATACCATTGAACGAGCAATTCCTGTATATATATAATCGGAATCTCGGAAACGGCTCCAACGATTTTCATAAAATTTTTGTGCAGGGAGTTTCGGAGGCAATAAATCGATCTAGCTAGGATTTATTTTTAGAAAATGTCTTTTTGACCGTGTTTTTAGGCAATGAAAAACTGCTACAATATCGTTAGAATAAGAAGGTAAATTTTGACAATTTATAATGATTACAAATAGCTTAATTGGTATATTGGGCGGTCACAAACTCGTAATACCATGATTCGAGCCCAGACCGACCGACTTTTTTAATTTTTTTTCAAGTTCCTTTCTTTTTTGAGAAAATCTATTTTTTCGAGTCCTTTTTTTAGTATTTTTAAAAACACGAAAATTTAAATTAAACTAATTGCACTCATGATTTTTTATTCAAATAACCAGTTCAGTTTTTTCTATTATGTCGCTAAGATCAAAAAATATTATTCGTATTTCATCAGTATGTAATTTGTAAATATAATTTCCGAAACACACGAATTAAAAAAAACCGAGCGAAAAATACCGAGCAAAGCTCGGTCAACCGGGTACTACATATTAAATAATGATTAATATCATATACTAAACAAAGAAATGAGATTACTCACAAAAAAGGTAAGACATTTAAAATAGAGCGTAAACGCAATTCATAAAACAAATGCAGATAAGTACCTAAAAGGATAGTAGATATTGCATCGTGGTTTATTGGAAAGGTCTTGGAATATTTTAAGGCTGGCCACATACATACATATATTCATCTCGTTGCAGTTAATTAAAAAGGGGAGGGGCGGCCTTAGTTCCAATTTTGTCTACCTGAACAGATAAGTTGGTAGCACTGTAAATGCACAACGGCTAGTTAACGAATTATACTCTTTCCACCTTTTGTAATAACAAAACACGGTTTATTGTTATTCTCCGGTTCAAACTGCGGTTCGGTACTTCCAAAAACGTAGTGAATATGTACTCCTTGATACTTCTTTATTTAATCAGATTCTACTTTAAACTTCCGACAGTTATGAAACTCCTTTTATTAATAAGTCGGTTGGTGATTTAATTTTTTGTAATATGGCAACACAAGCTCTTAGTATCCATTCATCGTGTTGCCGGCTATACACGCTACGGTACACCGTAGAGGTCTACTTGTGCAAGTATACCTGCGCAGGCAACCGGAGCAAAATCGAAAATCAATTCTTTCTAGTGACACCGTACGGTGTACCTGTGCGTGTGTGCGGTACACCGGAACGTCCCCATACACGATGTCAATGTTCGATTGACCTGCGCAGGCATACCTACACAGGTCACCTCTCCGGTAGACCGTAGCGTGTATGGCTTACATAACACATTAGTTCATTACTTCATTAGTTGTAGGACGCTGCTGTTAAAAGTTGATAGTCGTTCTATACAGTATCTAACCTATCTTTTGCATATACATGTATTTTACTTAATTATTACGAGATACTACGATTCTAGATTTATACAATTGGAGATTCTAAACAGATAACCTACATATATTCACATTTATTTTCTTAAGAACATATTTTTATTTCATCAATCGAATTATTGTAGTAAACATTGTTAGTGTATTGTGTTGAAAATTCATAATTTTTAAAACTATTTTATAAAAACCATAAACATTTAAGTGTTTTTTTTTAAGTTTTGATGTATTATCTTTACTATAATAACATGTAGCTGGTACCTAGTTAAGAAAATAAGAATATTATTATAAACAAGATTGAAAAATGAAAACGGTATTGCCAAAAAAACAAAGGTAGGACATCTATAATATGAATAAGGTCGAGGTACTGTAAGGTCCGAGTTATTCCTGCTTCAGTTCTGGGGGGGAGCTGGTGTCAGTCTCCTCGGGTCGGAGCGACATTTCGGGCAGTTTGTAGTGCTGCATGTGGAATGGCGGTTCGGGACTAGTGCTCGTGCGACTCATCTGGAAATTAATCATTATTATATTAGCCAGTTATCAGATATACTTAACTGGTGTAAGAATATCCACTACGCCATATCGTCTCGGCGAGTGTTGTTAGAGGCGATCGATCGAGACAAGTCAGGAGATGGGTAAGCAGCGTATTCCCAATAAAAAACTAAGAAATAACAAAAATAAAAACCCGCGGTTGCCAACCAGTCCGCCACGCGCGGCAACTATTGCAAACATATATACAAGGCAATCTATGCGGGAGACCAATCCTATGTTTAGCTTCATTTTCATTTCTAACCCTTTAAGCGCCATAAAAATCCCATGCAGTCGCATGCGCCCGGCAAATCCCGAGCGGTCATTTGATGCATGCGACCGCACCCACCCACAGCACTTAAAACCATTAAAACTTATATTTAAAGACTACTTTTCTATGAAGAAGTTTAGCATTATAAAATCTATACATAATTCTCTATCTTGTGGTCTGAACAATAGTCAGGTTTTACTTCATTACAAAAAGATTTTATTGTATTTTGATAACACAAAAAAAAACATACCAAGCGGATGTCGGCAGCGTGAAAATCACAATTATTTCTATTAGTCGAATTTTTACGTAAAAAATTAATTATATTCACACAGAAACTTTCATTACAATTTTATAATAAAACACTATACTAAAACACCAGAAAATCCAAAAATCAACACAATAACATTCACGCGAAAATGGCGTACGAAATGAACGTAGCTTATAAATAAATATTCATGGGATAAAAGTTTTTTTTATTGCACTATAGGATAGAGTATTTCATATTGATTATATAATGCCAAACTTCTTCATAGAAAAGTAGTCTCTATATATAAGTTTTTATGGGTTAAAGTGCTGTGGGTGGGTGCGACATCACGAGACCGCTAGGGATTTGACGGAATATGGCCGCGGTCTCATGAGACCGCTAGGGGGTTGAGAGGTTAATCGAGTATACATGTGCTGCAGCATCCACTTCCTATCAAGTGGAATTTAAGTTCCTTTGCTCATCCTATTCTTTAAAAATAATATAAAATTAAGTACCAACTTGAGCACAGCGGCCGCGACGTCGACGCGGCAGTATTCCTTTCCGCGCCATAAAGAAGCTGTAATTGTTAGAAATAGTGTGTTTAATTGATTAATCAAAATATTATTTTGTACATCGTGCAGTATTATTTATATTATCATTATCATAAGAATATAATAGACAACTTATTAAAAGTAATTTAAGCTTTATTACTGGTTCGTAAAAACCATCTATCCCGGGAAGAACCAGCAGGAAACCCAGCAGAGCTTTTAAAAAAAAAATCCAATGTGATATTTTATAGAATTAAGTACGAAAACATTTAGGAATAGCATGGTAGCGATCACCTCATTCCCATTAGTTATTATCAATCATGTACTCTAATAGGCTAACTAAACAAATTTTTACTAAATATTTTTTTTTTGATAAATATGTCATGCATATTATTTATTACATTAGCCCTTTAACTTTTTACAGTCGAATGTGGGATACCCAATAACCTTTTTCTTCACTTATATAGTTCAAGATTATGGTGCGTTAACGATCAATGTAAATACGAGATGGAAAAGCAAATACGACATCAATCGGATGCCTTTTTGCGTGATGGAGCCTTTACGCCTCCACTATAAAAGTTATTGAACAACTTTCTCTATGGAACCACCCTCGAAATTAAATAAAACCACCAGTAGGACCATGCTCTCACAAAATACCAGCGTAAAATAGCAGCGTATAGCGCTGCTGTGTTTCGTATGGAGAGTGTAAAGAACCGGAGACCCATTTTACTGGAATGGGGGCATTCCATCTTAGTCCTCAGAGGTGACAACGCATTTGCATGTTGATTCTTAATTGAGGATAAATGTGGATGTTTACGGTCCATAGCATCCATTTACCATCAGATGGGATGGACTGTGTACTCGTTTGTCATGTAATGCTGTAAAAAAATTACGCATGTAAACTATATATGATAGATCCAGGCATCCAGTCCACCGCTATTTACAACCTTTATGGTAATAATAAATAATGATAATATAAAGACTGAATGTCTGAGATTTTATCGAATACGTGCTTTTGTATTTGTTTGTATGTATGTATGTGCGTGCGCACGAGCGTACGTGCGTGTGCATGGGTGTGTAGGTACGTCTGGGTGTGTTACCACTAAGATTACATTATATTAAGATTACATTAGATTACATTTAATTAAGGAATAACTTTTACATTTTTATCAGCCACAAGTCACCACGTCATAGGCCATAATAAACTTCAATTATATTACTCGCTTGCACTCTGTACTCTTACTGATTCTTAGAATAAGGTACGTGAGGATAATATGGTCACCATAAGGTTTGCCGCCTTCAAAACCAAAACTAGGACGAGGAGAGCGACAAAAACACAAAGTATACTATAACCATTGAAGTAATATGTACTTACGTACTAGAACAGCTATCTCAAACAAAAAATGTGCGCTACTCTGTGTTCGCGTGGTTGGCTTTTTTTATCATAGAATAAACATAGGTAGAATGATCCGTAGGTAATAGTAGATTGTATTGTTAGGTTAATTATATCGAGAGTAATATTTAAATTTTGTCATTTATTTTGTATATTTTATTTGCTTATTTAATATAATATTACATAATATTATATCACAATTACATTTTAAAGATATTTTTATCTGAATATTTTAAAAGGCATCTTCATCAAAACTTATTAACATAACATTTAAATTACAAATATATTTATTGAAATCAGAATAAGAGTCGTTCATAAATGCTGGGCACGCGAGAGTTAAAAATGGACGAATTTATTCCACTTTGACTTTGAAGTGGAAACCTAAAAATAAAATGAAAGAATAATAAGCAGATTTAAACATGAAAAATTTAGCCTAATTATAATAACTTACATATGTTTCTACAAAAAATATCTATTATAGCATATTCGTCCTAAACTTAAGTACCCACAGAAATGTCGCATCTGAACATATTAATTTCATAATCTATATTCCATGACACGAGATGGCGTCTTAGGAATAATTTGTTTTATTATTAATTTATAATACTTTTTTTATTGATTAAGTATCTTATTAACCGATGAAAAGTAATTCCTTGGTTTTTACTGATATTTCTTGAGTTAATTGTGCAATATCTAAGTACACACGACTTCATATTTTTATCAAGAGATTTTTTTTAAATCAACAACTCGTGATAGCTCTACAAGAGCCTAGAGTGACTAATTAAAGTGCGGTGTATGCACCGCAGTTGAGTGGAACAGAGTAGCTGAATGCAGTGTCGCCTCTAGTACGTAGTACATAATAGCTCAATGACTATAACTAATGTTTTATATAAAAAGTAGCAAACAAGCTCTAATAGGATAGTGGTTGCGCGGAAAACCATTCGCGTTTTTTATTTTGACGGTAGGAACTTGCTGAATCATTATTTCTTTCCAAAACGATATCATTCGTACCCTCCTATCGACACATCGGGGTGATGGGGTGGGAGGGGAAAGAAGACGATTCTAGAACATCGCGTAATCATCGGAGCCGAGGATATATAAGACACGCGCGACCGACGCGCTCGCTTCCTCTTCCCACGCGCTCGTTTGGAAACACATCACTAGTGGAAACCGCTTTGGCCTGGAAGCAGTCGAGCTCCAGGAACCCGCCTCACCTCGTGTGAGATATCGTCGCGCACCGCCTCTCTCCGGAGTGTTCCAGAAGTCGCTATAGTGATCGACAGGATAGAAGAAACCCCGGTGAGTCAATATTCCTTAATTTACTGCCTGATTAATATTTAATAATTGTTTTAACCGTTCCAATTCTGTGTTCTCCTCATCAGGCAGGATTCCTTTCATCGATTTGGCAAGTAATAGTTTTAGTTTAGGGAAGAGAGTGCATTGTACCGCATGCTATAGTAGTCGCTTTTACGTAAGCGTAGAAGCAATCGCAAATACAGTCCACTTTAGTTAATATCTCGCGTAATAGGTTTGAGGTTTGACCGGGGAACTAGATTTTCGGCAGCCTTAAACACGTGGCTCCACCAGATAGGATAGGCAATAATGAGGAACACTTCCAAAAATCAACCTAAAAAAGACACTGAATCATACTAAAATCGACTATAATATTTACCAACTGTCAACTGTCAAAATGGCGTTGATGAAGCAGTGCCCTTTTGACCTTTAATATTTGATTAACTGATAAAAAGCTATCGTATTACACAGCCATCTATGCAAACAAGGTTGTAGTTTTTAAGTTATAAGAAAGTGATCATATTAACCGGATGACCATATTATCCTTACGTAGCTGTGCTTCGCATGGTGAGTGTAGAGAACCGAGGACCCCTTTTACTGAAAACGAGGCATTCCATCTTAGTCCTCACGGGTGACAACACATCTGCATTTTGATTCGTAATCGAGGAAAGATGTAGATGCCTATGGGTCACAGCAACCACTTACCATCAGGTGGACAGTGTGCTCGTTTGTCACCCTTATCCTATAAAAAAAGAAGAGGAAGCAAACGAGCATGCGGCTCACCCGATGGTAATTGACTACCGCTGCCCATGAACAACTGCAACACTATGGGAATTGCAAGTGCGTGATCGGCTACGTGGACACACATAACTAAGCTAAGCCGTTTAATTAATTGTTCTTAATATTGTATTTTCTTTGTAAGTTATTAATAAATAATAAAAATAATAATGCATGCTAATAAAAAGAAATGTAGATGTTTACCATGTAGTAGCGGTGTAAGAATATTGTGGATGTCGTAAGAAGTGACCGAGGGTAACAAATCAGGGCAGCAACGTCTCCCAAATTAACAACTAAAAATAAAAATAAACTGCGCTTGCCTACCTGCTTGCCAAGCGTGGCAACTATGGCAGATATCCCCCCTATGAAGCAATCTATGGGCGAGTCCTATGTTCAGCAGTAGACTTTAATACGCTGTAATGGATGGATGTATAGAATATAATCTACCAGGAGCACATGACCCACTGAGAGGTGAAATTATTAAATCAACAGTAACGTTACAACTATGGAAAATATTTCCCCTATGAGGCAATCTGTGGCAGTGGCGAAGCTAGAGCTCGAAACTAGGGCAAGCCCAAGATATAAATTGATAAAAGTATAGATTGTTGATTTTAGCAGTTGTATAAAAATACACCAATCTAGATCTGTCTCCACTCTTCGTTTCATATTCAGTGCTGTCAAGGACGTGGTTAACAAAGCACACAGAAGGCATACTACTGCTAGATAGATTTTATTACATATCAGCAATTGCATAGCTTCGATGGCTTTGAAAAAAGCCGTTTGGGTTTGTTTGAACAAAAGTAAAACATGAACAAGGTACAAACAAACTATGTGCAAAATTAAAAAAACAAATTATTTGCATTCTAAATGGACTCGTCTCTCTTTCTTAAGAAAAGATTTAATTACGTCCGCGTAAAATGTTGGTGAACGTTTTAATTGTACCAATAACTGTTTTTTGATTGCGATAATTGATAAGTCTGAAATACACTCTTGACCTTGTGTATTATCTCAACAAAGTTTAAAGATTTTACCTTTTCCTCTCCGATTAGCACTTCAACACACTTCAATTCATCACAAAGGACACTATTATCCTCCATTTTAACTAAAAATCTTTAAAAATGTATAAATTTTCAACTCGCAATATTAAATCGCTTAAGCTAAACACACAGAGTAAATAAACAATGAAATGTGAAATGAACTTGCAAACGTATTGCCCGCGCGCCTACGCTCTCGACAACTTCATTCCTAAAGCCTGACTTTAACTCTCTATACTAATTGCTATATATACAATCGTAGTTATATTTCATTTTAGAATATTTTGCCTTAGGTTAGAAAGAGAGCGATCGTCTTCTCGAAAGCCCCATAAAAAGCCCACGCGAGCGAGAGAGACGACGAATCGCTCTATTAATACTCATTTTTTATGACAGCAGCAGTATCGCTAAGGCAATACGAGGTGACCTGTGTCGAACAGTGGAGTGCGCGGGAAATTTGAAATAGTTTGAAACAGTTTACGAGTTATTTTATTAGTTGATATTATTGATTGATTCAGTTTGATAAGGCAAGCCCGGCTTTTCGCTTCTATGGAGGCTTCGCCACTGCTATGGGGGAGGCTTGTGTTCAGCGGGGGTTTAATAGGCTGTAACGTTAAAGATTATAAAAATAAGGCTATTGAAGAAGTCTGACCGTATAGTGGAGATGGGTATGTTGAACTTCTCGGAGACGGTCTGGAAGGTGAGACCACGGCTGACACAGTCAGCTGCTTGTCGCAGCACCACCTCGCTGCGCCGGATGCGCTTGTTCATGTTGTACTCCGCCGGCGGAGGCTGGCTCATCTGAGACACACAACTACTATGTAAACGTGTTAGAACCATGCTACAGCTATACCTTGTAACACGGATGAGTCGGCTCGGGGAAGGACCACAATCTCACAGAATACCAGCGTGAATCAGCAGCTTAATGCTGCCGTGTTTCGTATGTTGAGTGTAAAGAACCGGAGACCCGTTTCACTAGAATCGAGGAATCGAGGCATTCCATCTTAGTCCTCAAGGGTGACAACGCATCTGCATTTTGATTTTTAATCGAGGTTAAATGTAGATGTCTATGGTCCAAAGCATCCATTTACCATCAGGTGGACTGTGTGCTCGTTTGTCACCCTTATACTATAAGAAAAGAATAATGACAATTCAAATCGGGCTTTGTTATTACTGATTAAGACTTCATTATTTATCACATTCTCTGGTCATAACTTAACCTAGTTTATATTTTTATTAGTATGTCCAATAAGTAACGGACTTTGTTCATAAAGCCCGGGCAATTTAATTATTTCAATTGTTTTATTGGACATTTATCAAACTGTCTGGGCATTATGAATAATGCTCTATTTATCAATTGCTCCATAACATATATATTAACATAAATATTACGCAATTAAAGTTGGATAGTAAATAAAACACATGGTATAACTATTAATCCAAGTAAGTCTCAAGCAATAATAGTAAGTAGCAGATATACTAGTAGCTTAATTGATAAATGCACCCTGCCAGATGTGATTATCAATGGCACATCAATTACTTATACTGAATCTGTGAAGAACCTGGGCTTAATTATTGACAATAGGTTGTCATGGGGTCCTCACATAACGGACTTAGGTAGAAAAGTTTATTATGCTTTCCACTCATTAAAACGTCTTCAAAGTTTTTTACCCTTATCAACGAAAATCTCTCTTGTTCAAACCCTTATTTTGCCTATCTTATATTACGCTGATGTCTGTTTTTTGGATGCCACAGAGGAGCAATTAAACAAACTTGAGCGATTACAAAACCTTTGCATTCGGTATATTTTCGGACTCAAGAAGTTTGACCACGTCTCTAAATTTAGAAAGCAACTCAAGTGGCTCCCGATCCGATTTCGCAGGAACACTCGTATCCTTTGTCTCCTTTTTAACATCCTACATAGCAGTTTTTCATTGCCTAAAAACACGGACAAAAAGACATTTTCTAAAAATAAATCCTAGCTAGATCGATTTATTATCCCCGAAACTCCCTGGACACTAAATTTTATGAAAATCGTTGGAGCCGTTTCCGAGGTCCCGATTATATATATATAAGAATTGCTCGTTTAATAGTATAGGATGTATGTATTAATGTTTGTTGAAATATGAATATATTCATGTATTTGTATATATATATATATATATATATATATATAATCATCCTTTCACGGTAAATGTTGATCCAGTGAGAAGTTAGAACAATTGTTGATCCACCTATTTGACGTGTTTGCTCAGCTCCTCGTCGCACAAACTGATATACTTTGATCCATTCTTGATGCGCGTGTGACGTCGGTGGATCTACACTAACAGGATTTCAATATACTCGTCAGCGATTTGACCAACATTTGTTGATCTATCAACGGTCGAAAAAATCATACTGAATATGATTTTTTAGATCCAGAGTATATTTAATTTATATGCGACATTTACTTAGACTAAGTGGATCCGGAGCCATAATTGACGAATAGGTACTCGAACACGAAGCGGCAACGTCGCGTTCTGTGTGTGACAGAGAACCCAGTAGGCTACTTCGTTATAGTATTAAGGTAAGAAAATATGTTATCTGCTGATTTTGTGGATCAAACTTTGGCAGGTTTTATTGTGGAAAGACGTTTTTGAGTTTTTGTTATCGTGTGAGTGAATTTGTGTTATTTTATTCATTTGTCATAGATCAATTAGAAGATGATGGATAGTATTTTATTACAAATTAATTTGTCACTCGAGTGTGTGTGTAAGGGTGGGGGGTGCCATTTAGTTCGCGCGCGCGCGCGCGCGCGCGCGCGCGTGTGTGTGTATACGTGTGTGTGTGTGTGTGTGTGTGTGTGTGTGTGTGTGTGTGTGTGCGCGCATGTGTGTGTGTGTGTGTGTGTGTGTGTGTGTGTGTGTGTGTGTGGTGCATGTGTGTGTGTGTGTGTGTGTGTGTGTGTGTGTGTGTGTGTGTGTGTGTGTGTGTGTGTGTGTGATTTTTTATGCAAGTTTGTGTGCGCGCGTGCGTGTGGGTGTATGTGCATTCCTGTGTGTTCGTGTGAACGCATGTGCGTGCGCGTGTGTGTGAGTGTATGAGTGCGTGTGTGCACTGTTGTGTTTTTTTAGTACGTGTGTGTGTGTTAGAATGTGTGCGTGCGTGTGTTAACTGTTGTTCGCGTGTGTGTGTGTATGCGGTTGTGCGTGTGTTTGCTTTTGTGTGTGGGTACGAGTGTGTGCGTGTGTGCGTGCGTGTGTCCACTGTTGTTTTGTGTTTGTGTATGTGCTTGTGCGTATATGTGTGTTCGTTCGTGCGCGCGCGCGCGTGTGTGTATGTGCGAGTGTGTGTGTGTGTGTGTGTGTGTTAGCGCGCACGCGTATGTATGTGTGCGCGCGCGTGTGTTTGTATGTGTGTATGTGTGTGTTTGTGTGCGCGCGCGCGCGCGCGTGTGTGTGTGTGTGTGTGTGTGTGTGTGTGTGTGTGTGTGTGTGTGTGATTTTTTATGCAAGTTTGTGTGCGCGCGTGCGTGTGGGTGTATGTGCATTCATGTGTGTTCGTGTGAACGCATGTGCGTGCGCGTGTGTGTGAGTGTATGAGTGCGTGTGTGCACTGTTGTGTTTTTTTTAGTACGTGTGTGTGTGTTAGAATGTGTGCGTGCGTGTGTTAACTGTTGTTCGCGTGTGTGTGTATGCGGTTGTGCGTGTGTTTGCTTTTGTGTGTGGGTACGAGTGTGTGCGTGTGTGCGTGCGTGTGTCCACTGTTGTTTTGTGTTTGTGTATGTGCTTGTGCGTATATGTGTGTTCGTTCGTGCGCGCGCGCGTGTGTGTGTGTATGTGCGAGTGTGTGTGTGTGTATGTGTGTGTATGTGCTAGCGCGCACGCGTATGTATGTGTACGCGCGCGTGTGTTTGTATGTGTGTGTGTGTTTGTGTGTGTGTGTGTGTGTATGTGTTTAGGTGTGCGTGTGTGTGTCTGTATTTATGTGAGTACGCGAAGGCGCGCGTGTGTGTATGCGCGTGCGTGTTTGTGTGTGTATGTGCGTGAGTGTGCGTGCGTGCAGGTGTGTGTGCGGCGTGTGTGTTCGTGTGAGTGCGTGTTTGTGTGTGTATGCGTGCGTGCGTGTGTGTGTGTGTGTGTGTGTGTGTGTGTGTGTATGTGTGTGTGTGCGCGCACAGAAAACGGAGGCGGAGAATGGAGACGTGGAGGCGGAGGTGAATGCAGAGTAGTATGTGGAGAGGAATTTGTGGTGAAGTCGTAGATAGTGGAAACGAGGATTTATGTTGGAGGCGGAAAGAATAGTGACGGCGCGTGGTGGTAGCGGCGTTTATTGTTGAGGCGGATGGAGCAGAGTTTATGGTGGAGGCGGAAGTAGCGGAGGTGGAGAACGAAAACTTAGAGAGGGGAGCGGTGGTAGATGTGGAGGCGTAGGTGGCAGAGGTGGTGGTGGGTGCACTGGAGTGCAGTAAAGTGGGTACCGCGTGAGGACAAGTGAGGTTCATACAAAGGACAGTTGGTTACAGCGAAAAACAGTGTGGCTGGTAAGTGGATATCGATACTGCCCCTAAAGATGTTACTACGAGGTTATTCATTTTTCCGAATATCAGCTTGGATACCTGTTGGTACTAGAGACAAAGTGAAAAGAACTTTTGTTTTGTGACAGTTTCATCATAACTAACAAAACAAACCCATACTCGGCATACCTAGTACTACTAGTCCAAGTGTTACAGTGTTAGTTACCGAAGTACACCTTCAGGTCACTTCAGCAAGTCCGGAGGTAAGGACTCATCATAACTAACAAAATGAGCCCAAACTCAGCACACCCAGTTCTACTAGTCCAAGAGTTCCACTAGTAATCCCGAATTACATTTTGAGGTCACTCCACCAAGACCGGAGGTAAGGTCTCATGATAATATCTCAAGTAATAGTTCGATTCTATACCTATCAATTTTGTAAACGCGTCCTTAAAAATCTTGATTACGAAGATGTAGAAAACATGTTAACTGGTTTATGGTAAACACACACACACACACACACACACACACACACACACACACACACACACAAACACGCAAGCGCGCGCGCAAACATGCACACATGCGCACACGCACAAACGCATACACACACTCACACACGCACACTGCCGCACACACACAAACACAACAGTACACACATGCACAAACGCACACACGCACACCCACGCACACACACACACACACACACACACACACACACAATACACACACGCGCGCGCGCGACATGCGCACGCAAACACGCACTCAGACGAATACCTTATGTCACCGTTGCCACGACTTCCGCTACAAAAAGGGGCGTTGTCGAGTAAATCGTTAAAAAAAAGTCGTTTATTTCGACCACAAGGATCATAGATGTTAGTAATAATACAAATCTTAAAACTAATTTTCGTAAAACTTAAAACTATTTATCTAATTTTAAAACTATATATAAGACAGGCCCGATTAGTCAGCACGTGCACCATATGACAATGGTTCAGGTACTGACCTCAAACCTGTCAGAAAATGCCCTCAGGATACCATTGGAACTGGCCCGCACCCTGCGCACCAGGGATGTGCATCGTTTACGCATGGTGGTGTAGAAACAATCCACATTCGCATCCGCGAACATACCCGGCGCATTACAAAAACGAGGTAGACCAAACAGCACCCTGAATGCATTACATAACACGCAGTTAATCTGTAGCTTGTACCACCTAAGATACGAAACGGCAACGTCGCGGCTGCATTCAGCCAATCCGATCGTTTATTTTGAACGTTTGCTGTGCTCTGATTGGCTCATTTAAATCGGATCAACATTTTCCGTAACCATCGCAAGGTGGATTTGTATATCGGATCAACTTTGGCCAACGCTAGCAAACAGTCTCGTGAGTGCTGATGTTGATCCGGTTGGAGCCACATTAGTTACCAGAGATGCATATTGGATCAACAAAAGGCGCCGGATCAACATGAATTTTCGGATCAACAAAGTGCTCGCGTGAAGTCGCGTCTGATCAACATTTACCGTAAAGAGATCTATATATATATATATATATATATATATATATATATATATATACATATATATAATCATCATCCTTTCACGGTAAATGTTGATCCAGTGAGAAGTTAGAACAATTGTTGATCCACCTATTTGACGTGTTTGCTCAGCTCCTCGTCGCACAAACTGATATACTTTGATCCATTCTTGATGCGCGTGTGACGTCGGTGGATCTACACTAACAGGATTTCAATATACTCGTCAGCGATTTGACCAACATTTGTTGATCTATCAACGGTCGAAAAAAATCATACTGAATATGATTTTTTAGATCCAGAGTATATTTAATTTAAATGCGACATTTACTTAGACTAAGTGGATCCGGAGCCATAATTGACGAATAGGTACTCGAACACGAAGCGGCAACGTCGCGTTCTGTGTGTGACAGAGAACCCAGTAGGCTACTTCATTATAGTAATAAGGTAAGAAAATACGTTATCTTTTTTTTTTAAATCTTTATTCATATAAAATACACAGATTTAAAATAATAATAAACATCGCCAAACTGTGCAACAGTTTGTTGGCGATAATGGCGCTCTTTTTGTTATATATTAATATGTATTTTTTGTTACATACATACTTATCTTAGGTATATTTATTACAATAAATATCTCTATCTTTAATTAATACTTATTATAGGTAGTACATTATACTTTTCATAGGAATGTATTTTTTCAGTCTTTTCTTTAATGTTACTGTGCTTATGTCTTTGGACGTATCTCTTATAAAATCTATTCTATTATATATTAGCGGAGTTAAATATTGCCTAGTTCTCTTACCATAATAGTTTCTTATATGTGGTATCACATATTTACCCTTCTCAACTTGCCTGGTACGATATTTATGCGTTATAGGTTGTTTAAATTTATTTATTTTATATTGTTCTAAAGCAATTAGGTAATCTACCTTTTGATGCACTGGAAGTATTTTACATATATTAAATAATTTGTCATAATTTTTTTTTACACTGTAATTTTACTTTTTTACTTACTAAATACTTAAGTAGTCTAATCTGTAAATGTTTTATACGATCTAACTGTGTTTTGAATGTTAGCCCATAACTGCTCAATCCATAATTGATTACCGAGTCAGCCAGTGCATAATACAGTACGTACAAGACTTTTCGATTCATGAAATTGCTTAAGTGAAAGAATCTACCCAGTATTGATTGCAATTTATTACACACACCATTGACGTGCAGTTTCCAGTTCATATTACTATCTACTGTTAGGCCTAAGTATCGCTATTTATCTACTACATCTATGTTTGTGCACTGGCAGCCAGCTTTATTGAGGTGTAGACACTCGTATGTATGACCAATTATATTTATGTTTAATTTACCTTGCTTAAATACGTTACTGTGGTAAAACCTGCCAAAGTTTGATCCACAAAATCAGCAGATTTTGTGTTACTACAAAATCTGCTGATTTTGTGGATCAAACTTTGGCAGGTTTTATTGTGGAAAGACGTTTGTTCGAGTTTTAGTTATCGTGTGGGTGAATTTGTGTTATTTTATTCATTTGTCATAGATCAATTAGAAGATGATGGATAGTACTTTATTACAAATTAATTTTAGTGTTTTACAAATTTAAAAAAAATGTGTACAAATAAATTAATTGTAGCGTTCACTCGAGTGTGTGTGTGTGTGTGTGTGTGTTTGTGTGTGTGTGTGTGTGTGTGTGTGTTTGTGTGTGTGTGTTTTTATGTGAGTTTGTGTGTGCGCGTGCGTGTGGGTGTATGTGCGTTCATGTGTGTTCGTGTGAACGCATGTGCGTGCCCGTGTGTGTGAGTGTATGTGTGCGTGTGTGCACTGTTGTGTTTTTTTAGTACGTGTGTGTGTGTGAGTGTGTGCGTGCGTGTGTCAACTGTTGTTTTGTGTTTGTGTATGTACTTGTGCGTGTATGTGTGTTCGTTCGTGCGCGCGCGTGTGAGTGTATGAGCGGTTGTGTGTGTGTGTGTGTGTATGCGCGTGCGTGTGCGTTCGTGCGTGTGGTGTGGGTGTGTGCGTGTGGTGTGGGTGCGTGCGTGTGTGTTCGTCTGAGTGCGTGTTTGTGTGTGTATGCGCGCTGCGTGTGCGTGCGTGCGGGTGGGTGTGCGTGCGTGTGTGTTCGTCTGAGTGCGTGTTTGAATGTGTATGTGTGTGTGTGTGTGTGTGTGCGCGCGTCCAGAAAACGGAGGCGGAGAATGGAGTTGTGGAGCGGAGGTGAATGCAGCGTAGTATGTGGTGAAGGCGGAGGAGAGGAATTTGAGGTGAAGTCGGAGATAGTGGAAACGAGGAATTGTGTTGGAGGCGGAAAGAATAGTAACGGCGCGTGGTGGTGGCGTCGGAGGGGAGCGGAGTTTTTTGTTGAGGCGGATGGAGCAGAGTTTATGGTGGAGGCGGAAGTAGCGGAGGTGGAGAACGAAAGCTAAGAGAGGGGTGCGGTGGTAGATGTGGAGGCGTAGGTGGCAGAGGTGGTGGTGGGTGCACTGGAGTGCAGTAAAGTGGTTACCGCGTGAGGGCAAGTGAGGCTCATGGAAAGGACAGTTGGTTACAGCGAAAAACAGTGTGGCTGGTAAGTAGATATCGATACTGCCCCTAAAGATGTTACTACGAGGTTATTCATTTTTCCGAATATCAGCTTGAATACCTATTGGTACTAGAGATAAAGTGAAAAGAACTTTTCTTTTGTGACGGTTTCATCATAACTAACAAAACAAACCCAAACTCGGAATACCTAGCTCTACTAGTCCAGGTGTTACAGTGTTAGATACCGAAGTACACCTTCAGGTCACTTCAGCAAGTCCGGAGGTAAGGACTCATCATAACTAACAAAACGAGCCCAAACTCAGCACACCCAGTTCTACTAGTCCAGGAGTTCCACTAGTAATTCCGAATTACATTTTGAGGTCACTACATCAAGACCGGAGGTAAGGTCTCATGATAATATCTCATGTAATAGTTCGATTCTATACTTATCAATTTTGTAAACGCGTCCTTAAAAATCTTGATTATGAAGATGTAGAAAACATGTTAACTGGTTTATGGTAAACACACACACACACACACACACACACACACACACACACACACACACAAACACGCAAGCGCGCGCGCAATCATGCACACATGCGCACACGCACAAACGCATACACACACTCACACACGTACACTGCCGCACACACACAAACACAACAGTGCACACATGCAAACCCATTCACACACACACACACACATACACACACACGTACACATACGCACACACACACATATGCACACAAACACACACACACGCGCGCGCGCACACATATGCACACAAATACACACACACGCGCGCGCGACTCTCTTCTCTCTCTCTCTCTCTCTCTCTCTCTCACACACACACACACACACACACACACACACACACACACACACACACACACACACCGCACGCACACACGCAAACACGCACTCAGACGAATACCTTATGTCGCCGTTGCCACCACTTCCGCTACAAGAAGGGGCGTTGTCGAGTAATTCGTTAAAAAAAAGTCGTTTATTTCGACCACAAGGATCATAGTGGTTGTTAGTAATAATACAAATCTTAAAACTAATTTTCTTAAAACTTAAAACTATTTACCTAATTTTAAAACTATATATAAGACAGGTCCGATTACTCAGCACGTGCACCATATGACAATGGTTCAGGTACTGACCTCAATCCTGTCAGAAAATGCGCTCAGGATACCATTGGAACTGGCCCGCACCAGGGATGTGCATCGTTTACGCATGGTGGTGTAGAAACAATCGACACGCGCATCCGCGAACATACCCGGCGCATTACAATAACGAGGTAGACCAAACAGCACCCTGAATGCATTACATAACACGCATTTAATCTGTAGCTTGTACCGCCAAAGATACGAAACGGCAACATCGCGGCTGCATACAGCCAATCCGATCGTTTATCTTATCGTTTGCTGTGCTCTGATTGGCTCATTTAAATCGGATCAACATTTTCCGTAACCATCGCAAGGTGGATTTGTATATCGGATCAACTTCGGCCAACGCTAGCAAACAGTCTCGTGAGTGCAGATGTTGATCCGGTCGGAGCCACATTAGTTACCAGAGATGCATATTGGATCAACAAAAGGCAAAATCAACATGCGTTTTCGGATCAACAAAGTGCTCGCGTGAAGTCGCGTCTGATCAACATTTACCGTAAAGAGATTTCTATATATATATATATATATATATATATATATATATATATATATATTGTTATAAAAGTATTTGAGCTGACGTATATATTTAATTTATACCCATATGTGTTATATAATAACAAAGTGCACACCTTATAATCATTTAGTAATCATGTGTTTGAAACTGGCCTACTGGAAGAAATTTCATTGTGAGATAAGTAGAGCCTTTGTACAAACTTTTTATCATGATGTGTCCTCTCCCTAACTTGTGTGTACATAAATTGTGAAATAAAAATAAATAAATAAATAAAACAATGGGTACCTGTGGCGGATCCCCCACGTGGATGACGTTCACTCCGGGCGTGTAGCCCGGCCCTATAGTCATTATCTTCGGCCTCACTTCCACGAAAGGGGCTGACGGTGGTAGTCCAGGTACCTGTTGAGAGAATTCAATTCATGTTACATATTGTTTTGTATTTTTATAAAATCTTTGCCTCATCGTTCGTCATGCGTACAGCAAATGAGTGGAATAAAAAAACGTAGATATAAACACTCAAGCCTGTCACTTCGAGGGGTAGGCAGAAACTACTGATACTGACTTCCGTTTGACACGATCTTGACACACCTCTCTCATCTCCTTTACATCCATATACCTACGCACACGTGCTTGTTGGTTAAGGCCGAATACGAAGAGAACTGGCGAAACTTTATGTATTTCTGTTCACTAGAACTTTGACCTGAAGTAATTCTAAGCGTTAAAACATACTTTGTCGGTTTGTTCGGTTACTTCACAAGGTGTCTGCCTTTTTAAAATTTTGAAATAAGTCAATAAAACAATTTAAAAAATGTGTTAAGAAATGATATCCCAAAATTATTTTTCTTCCAAAACTCCTGTGAATACAAAATTAGGTTTTTTGTATTGATCACAATACAAATATTTTTACGTCTTCTTCATTTTCGACGTTTTGCGATACAATATTTTTTTATTATGTAACATAATTCGTTTTGATTACAAACGCCTAGTAATAATATTGTATATTGCCCGATAAAAGTTTGCCATCATAAATTACCAGGCGCTTCGATGTGTAGCGTAAGGTGACAATAGTCAGTTATATCTGTATTGAAAATCGTTAATTTAGGGGTTTACACGCCTTTAAGTGACTATAAATGTGAATAAGCGTAGGAAAAAAAATTATTACTTAAGTGGTAAAACAAAGACAGTTTATCGCAAGAACGCTCCTCGAGTGTGGTCCGTTCCACTTTGAGGTTATATTTTTACTTACTTTTACGGTAGTTTTTTGTTGGAGGTTGCCTAATAGGCTGGATTTTTACTAATTTACATCAGCAAAACTGATTATTTGTACGTTTCTGGGTAAAAATCTAAAAATGTAAATATCACGACCACGTCGTACTATTATTTATTCTGTGTCACGACCGAGTCGGAAAATAATGTAAAGAGTAGTGCAAGCACAGAGACCGCAAATAATGTCACAGTCAATGTATTGTCCGAAAGTATGGGGTAAGTACATAATTAAGAAAAACAGACATACTGCGGGTATTAAGTGATTGGCCGGTCGAAGTAGTCTTGTGAGAATTTACACACACAGTACCTACCCCTAATATTGGGCAAACAGGGACTTTTTAATTTTTTCTTTATTATTTATGCAATTTGCATTACGGCATCTTGTAAAACTCACAAGAATAAACAGTTTACAATTCAGTTACGTGAAGTATTTTACGTACGAACAATTCAGAAAAAATCGATGTCAATTCAATAATTTTTCTTTACAGAATAACTACTTTACAGAACTTATAATCTATACTAATATTATAAAGAGGATAGATTACATATATAAACACTCACGCCTGTCACCCAGAGGGGTAGGCAGAGACTACGGACTTCCATTTGGCACGATCCTGACATACCTCTTTCGCCTCCTTTACATCCATATATCTACGCATACATGCTCGTCGGTTAAGGGTACTTCTAACGTGGCCCATTTTCAAAATATCGCCAATTTGGTCGATAAACTTTTTCCTAGGGCGTCCCTTCCCGACTCGGCCATTCACATCTGCCATATAAATTTGCTTTGTCACTCTTTCTTCATTCATTCTTTCTACGTGACCAAACCACCGAAGCATTCCTTTCTTAATCCTGGTCACAACATCATCTTGCATACCACATTTATCTCTTATCACGCAATTTCTCACCCTGTCATTCAGATTACACCCTAGCATATTCCTTAAAGACCGCATTTCTACAGCATTTATTTTACTTTCGTGCTTCTTCTGCCACACCCAGCTTTCACTACCATACATTAAAGTAGGGACTAACACAGCATTATGAATTACCATACGCGCCTGTTTTGATAAATTCTGGTTCTTCATAATAGAGTGTAGTGCCCCATTCACCCTATTCACTGCATTTACTCGTCGTTCTATATCCCTATCATATCTACCATCCCTGCTAAATACACATCCCAAATACACAAACTCATCCACTTGCTCAATCAACTCTCCTTCTATTCTTATTTCACATACCGTTTTGCTTTCTTCTCTTTCAAAAACCATCACTTTCGTCTTACTTGCGTTCACTTTCATTCCCCTTTCTTTTAATTCCCAGTTCATTAATGTAACCATCATTTGCAACTCTGCCGCCGATGACGCAAGTACGACTTGATCATCGGCATACAAAAGGCATTTGACGGTTAACTCGCCCATTCTTAACCCACATTCTTAATCTTTCAAAGTTAGCAAACACCGGTCCATAAATAGGTTGAACAGCCAAGGGGAAGCCACACAGCCCTGTCTGACACCTTTTTGGATGCCAAACAAGTCCGAGTAGACCCCATTGATCCTGACACAAGCACTAGAGTCCCTATAAAGAGACCTTAATGCCTGTATCAAACCAGCGCTCAACCCATATGAGTTCAGTGTTTGCCATAACACATTCCTGTCCACTCTGTCATAAGCCTTTTCCAAGTCCATGAACGCACAAAAAACTTTCTGGTTTTTGGCCAAAAACTTCTCCGCAATCATGCGCATGGAAAAGACTTGATCTGTACACCCCATTCCCTTTCTAAAACCCGCTTGCACATCCCAAATTTTTTCCATCAGTTTCTTTCATAACTCTTTCAATTAACACCTTAGCATACAGTTTACCCACAATACTAAGCAAGCTGATACCGCGGTAGTTTTTGCAGTCCTGCTGTGACCCTTTTCCTTTATATATTGGTACTATAATTGCTTTACACCAGTCATCCGGTACCCGTTTTAATTCCCAACATAAATTAAACAAGGTGTACAGCAGGCCTGCCACCACTCCCTCTCCAGCCCTTAGCATCTCGAGTGATACTCTATCATATCCAGCTGCCTTACCTGCTTTCATGCTTTTCATTGCTTTCATTATTTCATCTACACTTATCTCCATACCCCTTTCCACTTCTTTCGGAATTTCTAGTTCATTTAATTCATACGACTCTTCACTCATAAACACGCTTTCAAAGTATTCCTTCCATCTGTTTAAAATCGAAACTTCATCATTCAGAATACATCCATTCTCGTCTCTTATAGCATTTATTATAGGCTGTTTTGTATTTCCCCCTGGCAGTTCTTACGAGTTTCCAGAACATTTTTATGTTAGCCCGGAAATTATCAGATATCCTTCTATCATTCTTATCCGTTCTTTCTTTCTTTTTCCTTTCAACAACTTCTTTTACTCTCTTATTTAGACGTCTAAATTATGCCTTTTTCTTTCAATCTCATCATTCATACCAGAAGAATTATCAGCTTTGGTTGCTAGTAAATCTAACCATGCTTTCTTCTTTGATTCAACTTCCACCCGTACCTCATCATCCCACCATAACGTATTACTTTTCCTTTCATTTGTTCTCTTACTTACACCGCATACTTCGGTGGCGGTATCCACCAAACCTTTCTTAATATTATCCCACACAGTATTCAAGTCTAAATCATTCATACACAACTCATTCAAACATCTAATATTTTCTCTCAGTCTACATTTATACTTCTCTATCACATCTTCATCTTGTAACTTCTCTATTCTTATACGCTGTAACGCAGTGGTAGATACAGATGTCCGATGACGCCAACGCTTGAAAAGACCATTAATTCGACATAAGACCAAGTAATGATCCGTCCCTACGTTGGACCCCCGGTAAACCCTTGTATCTACGACTGCGCTCCTCATTCTTTCATCCACAATTACGAAATCTATCATGCTTCTATCATCACCTCTTTCCCATGTATACATGTGAATCTTCTTATGACGAAAAAAAGTATTCGTCACAAAAAGATTCTTTTCCGCACATACGGTGAGGAGGTCTTCACCATTCTCATTTATACTTTCATCACCAAACGTTCCCAATATCCTTTCATAACCAGACCTCTTCACCCAGGATAGATTATTATTTTTGTATGTTTGTAACGAATAAAGTATTCTGTACTGTACTGTAATAATCTGTAGGAACTAATATTATAAATAAAAAAGATTTAATAAAGAAGTAAACAATGCTCTCTCTGTTATTTATTACTCTGCATGCCGAGCTAGCGCACTCGTACGGCTACGTGATGTTCGAAAGACAGCGCGCAGTTCGCCACGAAACGAGCAAGATCGTTCGCTTAGTATTCGGCCTTAAGGGTACTCTTAATCCGGACATAAAATAAAAACCATTAGCGATTCTCCTTCACTCTCAGACTTCTTATTCTCACATTGTATGTAAGTTTCTTCATCACTTTTAATCAAACAAGGCAGCTACTGACGATATTGCAAAAACTCAAAACTTAATATTGCATACTATTTACTACCTTTATACATAATAGCTTAATTTTGTACCTTTACAATGTATTAGCACAGCAACATAATTATGTAGTAAAATTAGTTATTATGTAATAAAGACTTGGCTTATTACTTTGAGAGAATATGGACTACCCCATGTCATCGCGTGGGTGTCGTAAGAGGCGACAGAGGGACACATATCAGATGGGCAGCAGCGTCTTCCTAATAACGACTAAAAATAAAAAATAAACTGCAGTTGACATCCAACTAGGCAATCTATTGGGGAGCCCTATGTTCAGCAATGGACTTACTGGAGTGGAACTTAGTTTGCGACGTCAATTTTATAAAAGAAACACCATCAGCAATTCGCCTTCACTTTCAGCCTTTACTCTCAAATGCTATGCAAGTTCGTTTGCCGCTCTTAATCATACAATTTTATACGTGGTAGAGCCACGCCATAGATATATTATAATAGTAGCGTAAATGGGTCGGTTCGATCGGGGAAAGAACACGCTCTCGCAGATTACCTGCGTAAAATAGCAGCTTAATGATGCTCTATTTCGTACGGTGAGAGGATAATACACTTTTAATGGAAACGAGGCATTTGTTCTTAACGCTCAGGTATGACAACTTATTTGGTTTCTGATTTTTAATCGAGGGTAGATGAAGATTTCTATGGGATCCACTTACCATAAGGTGGAGTGTATGCTCGCACTTATTCTATATAAAAAACGACGGGTTGCACTCCGGGAGTACCGGCAGAAGTGAAAACTTGAATATTAACGTTGTGCATTTTCGATATTTTGGAATGATTAGGGAATAATTTTGCACGAATTGCTTTTATTATCAAACACGAACATTCGCGCAAACGCCCTGCGCCGCCTAAACGAAACAGCAGGCACAGGCTTAAAAGTTTTCGCCGCGCCGTAGAAAGAGAGGGGGTACTTCCCTCCTGCGCGCCGGCTGTCTCTCTCTCTCTCTCTCTCTCTCTCTCCATCCGTCTTACGAATTTTCGATCAGGGTCACGTGTCCTGACGCGAGCTTAACATTTTTACCCATTACAAAAAAGTGTACAACGCCGCTAAAGAAGTTTTCACTTCAAAAATTGCTGGTGGTTGTTTTTAATCAAACAAGGAAGCTACTGACGTGGTTAACTTGATGGATGATGAAAGCTGGCGGCTCGTCGCGCAAGTCGTAGGTGTGGTCGTCCGGCGGTCTCGCCGCCGGTCGCTCCGTCTCCGGCTCGTTGTCCGACGGACTGTCGTACTGACACTGTACGTTGGCTATCGCGAACTCTGTGAAGACCAACCCACAAGGTATATAAAACCTTTCGTTCACCAGATGTCGCTAAATAACAATTATTTGTTACACGATGCCATTAAAATTGGAATGCTAAGTTTTAAATTAAAAAAAAAAAGGTTTTTATGATGGGTCTACGCTAGAGGAGCCGAGCACGAACTGAACGCAAGCTGAGCAGCTGTACTCGCGGTGTAAAACGAGCCTACAACAAACCCACAGCGAACGCGATGCAAATCCCTTTGTGTTCGTCAAAAAACCGACGATAGGCGGAGCACAGTTGAGCGCGAATCAAACACTCAAGCGCGCTCGTTCGAGGCTTGTTAAGTCGGTCCACACTACACGAATTTCTGCTCGGCTCATGCTCCGCTCGTGCTCAGTTCCTCTAGCGTAGATCCACCTTTAGTGTTACACAAAACAATGCCCTAGTGGTTTGCTCTTTAATTTTTAAATTCTTATCTTTAATTCTTCTTTGAATTATTATTATTTTAGGAATATCCCTAGTTTGATTGACTTATGTATAACGCAGTGGCGAAGCCTCTACACAAGCCCAGAAGCCCGGCTTGCCTCATTAAGATGAATCAATCAATTATTTCAAGTAATAAAATAACTCGTAAACTGTTTTAAACTATTTCAAATTTCCCGCGCACTCTGTTCGACCTCGTAGCCTTACGAATACTGCTGTCATACATATAAGGAGAGTTGAATTGAGCGATTGGTTTTCTCCCTCGCACGCTTGGGCTTTTAACCGGGCTTTCGAGAAGGCGATCACTCCCTTTCTAACCTGTGGCAAAATGTTCTCTAATGAAATATAACTACGAAATGTTCAATTACTATTGAGCCACAAGCCTGGCTTTGCCCTGAAGTTGTTCACTTCACATTTCAATGTTTATGTTTTTTTTGTTGTGTTTGTTAAAAATTTGTGCTTTTTCAAAGATTTTCAGTGAAAATGGGAGGATAATATTGTTCATTGTGATGAATATAAGTGTGTTGAAGTGCTAATCGGCGAGGAAAAGGTAAAATCTTTGAAAATGAAATTAATATTCAATAAACATTTCTTCATACTTTAAATATAGGTACAGGACTCTTTAGTATTAAAGTTTAATTAAGTTAGGCGTATTTAAAGGTTTAATAACTCAATATTTATATTACCATATGAATTAAAAATATCATTTTGAACGGCAACATAAAATATGAGACACCTAGGTTTAATTTTATAGGAAATAAGTGTTACAATGTTTTTTTTTAGTGAAGCCCAAATTTTAATGTAATAAATCAAAAGAATACAGAAGAATGTATTGAGGTTTTTAAAGAATACTCCCTTTAGTTATTTCCAGTATATAAAATTTTAATAGCGCCATCTACTTAATTCTATAGGTAAAGTCATTTTATCGAACGAAAATTGGTTGATTCTCACGATGGTACCTAGAGATTACGCTAGATGGCACAAATACGCTATCGGCTAATTTAATATTTATATTACCATATGAGTTTAAAAATATCATTTTGTACGGTATATTATGAATTGAATATCATTTTGTACGGTTTATTATAAATTTAAAATGAATAATTATATAATAAATAGTCATTATTTTATGGTAAAAAATTAGCAAAGCTTTATCTTCTCATTATAACTACCTAATTCCTGTCGTAATCTGTTCTTTTATGCATATAACTTAAACAAAATAATTTTGAGGTTTTACATCTGCCAGGCGTCCCTTTTTTAACTTTGTACATAGTTTGTTTGTACTTTGTTCATGCTTTTCTTTTGTTCATGTATTGTATTGTTTGTAAATATCTCAAGCAAACCCAAACGGCTCTTTTCATAATCACCGAAGGTGTGCAATTGTGTGTTATTTTCACACGTTTTACCGGTGCATGGTGATTATATAGATCTAAGATTAGAGAATTGAAGTTAATCACCTTGTCCTCAATATTAGAACAATCAATTACCGATGTCCAGTCGATTAAACTAGCATCGCCCCTCAACGTCTCCAAGTCAATGCCCTTATAACTTCTAAGATATCGAAAATGTGGTTTGCACTTAGGGGGACGTACAAGGTAAGATAGGTAAATGAGATCGTGATATGAAAATGAAGCGCATATTTGTCCGTGATTAGCAACACTATTTAAAGACGATATGATAATTAGATCTAGAAGAGATGGTATACAATTGGGAAAGTGGGGGTGGCAGATAGAGGCAAGATTTCTAGGTTATAAGAAGACACAAGAGATTGCAATTTATAAGTACGTAAATCATTTTTCAATAAACATGTGTTGAAATCCCCCATCAATATTACATGGTTATATACAGGACAGAAAGTATTAAGAAGTATGTCTAATGTATCAAAGTAATTGATATTAAGGTTAGGACTATACAAGACTCCAAGGAAAATGTTTGTATGATGAAGTGTATTTTCAAGGAACAAATGTTCCGCAGATTCCGAGTAAGTTGATGGAGATACGCTGATAACCCTGCAAGAAATTTCTGAACGTAAATAGATAGCAACGCCTCCACCACCTTTGCCTACCCTATCATTACGAATAAGAACGTAACCAGGTAGTGAATATTGAATAGAAGGGAGGGAAGGCTTGAGAAAAGACTCAGAAATTAGAAGAGCATCAAGATGAAAACTGTCAATGGATGCGAGAAGGTCAGAATAATGGCAAGGAATACTTAGAGTGTTTATGTGAGCTATGTTAAGATTGTTAGGATATTGAGAAAAGAGGGTAGAAATTAAGATTTACGGAAGGCTCTGAGTCCAGGCTTAAAAAGCTGTTAGATGAAGACGAACATGAGAAAAAGCTATCATTATTATCTGTGTCGTTATCTGTATACATATTATTAAAAAGGCACAATACTAATAAAATATTTAATAAAAAAATTAAATAAAAAATGTAAATAAAGAAAAAAATTAACTTAAACAATATTTAAAATTAAAAAAATTAAAAAAGTAACATTAAGGGCAACTCATCTTACTTACTGGCATGATGGAAGAAATTTATACTTAAGCTTACATTAGTTACTAAACAATTACGTGTGTATAAAAAAATAAAGAAAAAGAAAAGAAAATGAAAAAGAAAGCTGGCCACAGTATACTGTACAAATCATTATAAACACATACTGTATGATATAAAAGTAACATACATTATCACTTTCTAAAATTCATTTGTATTGAACGTCAGTCACAGAATATTTAAATATACTTTATGTCAAACGATGTATTCAAAGTTTCAAAGTAAATATAATAATATATATTAATATATTTATGAATACATGTTTGACATGTATATTTAATCAGATTATAAACTTTGTTTTTATAAAGTTTATTAATCTGATTTTTTGAAAACAGTGTCATACGATTGATACAGTGGCGAAGCTTCCATTAAAGCCGAAAAGCCGGGCTTGCCTTATTAAACCTGAATCAATCAATAATATCAACTAATAAAATAACTCGTAAAATGTTTCAAGCTATTTCAAATTTCCCGCGCACTCCACTGTTCCACACATGTCGACCGATGACCTCGTATTGCCTTAGCGATACTGCTGCTGTCATAAAAAATGAGTTTTAATAGAGCTAATAGTTGTCTCCCTCGCTCGCGTGGGCTTTTTACGGGGCTTTCGAGAAGATGATCGCTCTCTTTCTAACCTATGGCAAAATATTCTATAATGAAATATAACTACGATTGTATATATAGCAATTAGTATAGAGATTTAAAGCCAGGCGTTTGGTAATAAATTTGTTAAAAGCGGAGGCGCGCGGGCAATACGTTTGCAAGTTCATTTCATGTTTCAATGTTTATTTACTCTGTGTGCTTATCTTAAGCGATTTAATATTACGAGTTCAAAATTTATGCTTTTTTAAAGATTTTTAATGAAAATGGAGGATAATAGTGTTCCTTGTGATGAATTGAAATGTGTTAAAGTGATAATCGGAGAGGAAATCTTTAAACTTGTTGAGATAATACACAAGGTTAAGAGTGTATTTCAGACTTATCAATTATCGCAATTAAAAACAGTTATTGGTACAATTAAAACGTACACCAACATTTTACGTGGACGTAATTACTTACTTATATCTCTTATCCATTAGAATGTAAATATATATTTTTTTTTAATTTTGTACATAGTTTGTTTGTACTTTGTTCGTGTTTTACTTTTGTTCATGTATTGTATTGGATGTAAATATGTTTTTTCTTTCGCTTAAACAAACCCAAACGGCTTTCTTCAAAGCCACCGAAGCTATGCAATTGCTGATATGTAATACAATCTATCTAGCAGTAGTATGCCTTCTGTGTGCTTTGTTAAACACGTCCTTGACAGCACTGAATATGAAACTGAAGCGTGGAGACAGATCTAGATTGGTGTATTTTTATAAAACTGCTAAAACAACAATCTATATTTTTATCTATTTATATCTTGGGCTTGCCCTAGCTTGGAGCTCTAGCTTCGCCACTGGATTGATAATGTACCTACTAAGAAAACTATATTTGTTGATTAAAGTATAAACAAAAACATTGATTACTGGCATTATACTGAATATGGCTAAATATGGGACGTTGTACAAATGCAATATGTACTCGTAACTACACAAAAACAGACATTAACGTCGGCGCGTTTTCTTAGGAACATTTGCACTATTCGTCGAAGATTTTTTTTTTGGACAAGCCATTGTTTCAGTTTGTGGCGCATTCTGCACATCTGTACTAGACGGATATTTAGCAGTGAGCAGTTCTAATTCTGCCATGCTTTCAATTTTCCTTCGAGATTTATCCAGAAGTATTATTATTATTTTGCCTTCGGACGACCAGCATTGTTTTATACCAAAATGTTTACGCGCTGAAGTGAATACTTGATGCCTACTCTTGGTCAAAAACTCTGAGATGGTTATACCGGAGCCTTTTAGTCCGGTTTTACTATCCCACACTAACTGTCTGTGTTCGGTATCATAAAATCTAACCAGCACAGGTCGGGTTTTATTTTGTGAGGCTCCCAATCGATGTCAGACCTTCAAGCAATCTTTATTCACCTCAGGCAACTGCAATTGGCTGGATATTAGTTCATACACTACATCGATAAGGTTCTCATTTTGTTTTTCGAGCAGCCCATGAAATAAAAGCACTTTCCTTCTCATAGCCGTTTCATGCCTAACGTGACCAGACGTCCCGTTTTGAACAGGACTGTCCCTTTTTATAGTTACGAGTCCCGGTGTCCCCGAATTGAACACTGGGACGCAAAATTGTAAATTTGTGTTTTTGTTACTAAAAAACTTTTTTGAAGATCCCACATCCGAATTATGGCTTTATTTTTTACACGCTCAGTCAGCAAGTTTTCATCAAGCTATATTGAAACTTGAAGTTCAGACTGTATCGGCTATTGAAGCTGCAAAAAAATCAATCAACTTAAAGACAATTTGACTCAGAAACAGACCAAGCAACTTCTTCCATTTACGGTCCGTCAATTAAAAGTGAAATCGAAAGATAATGTTACTGACAAATGAAACATTGGTGAAAAGGGCCGCTACAAAATTTTATGAAACAAGCCGTGAATATCTGGAGCAGTGGAATTTCTTTCTTACCAAAGAAATGGAGATATTTTATTAGGCAGATTTAAAAAAGTTCCCTGCAGGGAAGACGTTCAATAATCTCTGGATGTATGTAGTTTTTGACGAACTACGAATTTCAGTTCTAAAGGTGATATTGATAATTTAGGTGAATATAAAAAAAGGTGCCAAGAGTTTCATTCTTACTTAATATCACGTGCGTGATAATAATCATCAGCGTGCGTGCGTGCGTGCGTGCGTGCGTGCCTGTGTGTGTGTGTGTGTGTGCGTGCGTGTGTGTGTGTGTGTGTGTGTGTGTGTGTGTGTGTGTGCGTGTGTGCGTGTGTGCGTACGTGCGTGTGTGCGTGCGTGTGTGCGTGTGTGCGTGCGTGTGTGCGTGTGTGCGTGCGTTCGTGCGTGTGTGTGTGTGTAATTTTTAAGCTAACTGATTTTTTCTGAATAAATAAGTCCCGTTATGAGTCGAAAAATAAGTGGTCACGTTATATCATGCCTATCAAGCCCAAGGCAGAGTAATTGGATTTGAGTTTTCATTGCTGAAAGGGATTGCCAAACAAAGGATTTAAATTCAGCAAACTCACGTGCTAGTGATGATAAATCTGTATGTGGATAATTGCCCTCCATGTTGACTTTTTGCAGCTTCTTTTCGTATTCACACATTCGGGATCCAAACATTTTCTCAAGTTCAGAGAGGTTATTTGCCAGTTGAACATCCATTGTCGACATAAAAATAAGTCTTCCAAATATCTTTTAATTAAGGAGAAGTAGTGAGCAGTAAGTATAGGTGAGTCTAGTTAATTCTTATAACATATATATATATTCACAATAAACATGTAATCATGATTTTAATTAATTTAAAAGTGAGCACACTAAATACGCGTGTAAACGGTACGACTACTCGCAAGTAAGTAACTTACTTTCTAACACATTTAAGTAACTAAGATAAATCTCATGGTTTTGTTTTGGCGGAATGTAAACTGCACCTATACAGAAACACTTTTTTGCATTAAATTCGATGAGCATTTGATCGATAATGTGTGGGAGCGTGGAGGAGGTCATAGTGGCGGATGCGCAGCCGGCAGAGCACAGCACAGTGTGCACCATAATATATTATATTAGTCTATGGTGTGTGCTGGATCGCAATCAACAGTAGATTGCTAGAGTCTGTTTCATGTAAGAAGTCCCTTAGCCGCGGCCGTTGAGTATAAAGGTAGCCGCGGCACCACAGTCTTTGCGAAGTTTGACGTCTGGTGTCAAATTCCATACATTAAATCTTAGTTCGCACATTTTTTCGTGGGACTTCTTTCATGAAACAGACTCTACACATCTATTTATCAACACACCACCTCCGCACGGCTGCCGATCCGCGTGGAATATCCTATACCTATTGTCTAAGTATTCGTTAATGGTTATATCTGATGTCTGCATGCAGCCACGTTTCAGTTGGTATTATTATATCGTATGATTAAATGTATTCATAAAAAGTGTATGTAGTTTGGTTCTGACTTCTGAGATTATGACAATTCTGGTAGTAGATAGAAATATTCTTATCCATTTCTATATACATATAAAAAATATTGTGTTGTTAGTAAAACGTATTTAAATTATAAAAAGTACTATTTAGATTGTGGTTATTATAGATTAACGGGTGAGAGCAACGTACGCAAATAAAGTATAGATTAACGAGATGATGTTGTGACCAGGATTACGAAAGGAATGCTTCGGTGGTTTGGTCATGTGGAAAGAATGAATGAGGAAAGAGTGACCAAGCAAAAGTGAATGGAAGAGTCGGAAAGGGACGTCCTAGGCAAAAGTTCATCGATTATAATCAATCGATTATGATCAAATTAAGGGTACACACCCTTAACCGACGAACATATATGCGTATGTTTATGAATGTGGAGGAGGCGAGAGAGGTGTGTCAAGATCGTGCCATATGGAAATCTATAGTCTCTGCCTACCCTTCTGGGTGACAGACGTGAATGTGTTATGTTATATGTTTTTATTAGATTATTGTATAACAGAAACGCCTTACTATGATAATTGTATAAATAAGTTTAAATAGAAATCGGTAAAAAAAATATTTTTTCAACTTTACACACATTTCATCATCATAGATAACGAGTTTGATCTTAGTAAACATGCACAGATAGTATATTCGCCCGATAGTCCCATAGTTGAACATTTATTACTTTATAATAAATAATTTATTACTTTGCAACCTTCCACTAACTAAACACAATGATGTGTCTTACCTGGATTTAAGAGCACCTCCCGCCCTCCCTCAATTGCATGTACTAACTCCGTCACCACTAGTTCCAGGTAAGACACACCGACGACAATACGACACGTGTTTTGCCTCTACACGTGGCATCCTCAGGTAATGTAGTTAGGTGTGCGTCGAAACAGCTGCTATTTATACACGCCGACACAACCACTCCCCACCAAAGTAGCGAGTGACCGCGTCGCGCGGTAGCAAACTTGCGACTAATTGTTATGATTAATATTTTTTAAATATTATTATTATTATTGTTTTTATATTGATATTATTATTGTTATTTATTATTATTAATTTAAAAATTATTATTAAAGATTAGCCTTAAAAATGTTTAACAAAGGTGAATTAGAAACATTTGTTTGTTCATTCAGCAGTGCATTGTTACCATTATTATTTTTAAAAATCTCCAACTGTTCCAGCACACAGCCGCAGCCCCTTACTACAAGTATATAGTAGTAGAGTCCACGAAAAAATTAAATTTAAGCTTGAATTAATTTACTTAATTTCCTTGACTTAACAATAACAAGAAAAGAGTCGTTGCATGTTTTTCAAATTTATCGAAAGCCAACTCATACCGACACGGTCATCCCCGCGTCATCGTGTCATCCATGGCAACATAAATTAGCCGCTTTTTATTGTTACATCAACCGTCTGTTCACTGTTCCATTAAGTAAAGAAAATTATTTAAAAGAACTTAATATAATTTATCAAATTGCAGTCTCTAACGGTTTTTCAAAAAATCTCATTAATAATCTTATTAAATAGAAACAAAAGCATGTAGTTCGCAATTCTTTGTACGCGGTTCGATCTCAAAGTGTGCCAGGATGCCTCGTGTAGAGGCGAAACACGTGTCGTATTGTCGTCGATGGTGTGTCTTACCCGGAATAGTGGTGTTGGAAGTAGTGGTGCCGGGAGTAGTGGTGTTGGAAGTAGTGGTGCCGGGAGTAGTGGTGCTGGGACTAGTGGTGACGGAGTTAGTGCATGCAATTGAGGGATGGCGGGAGGTGCTCTTCAATCCAGGTAAGACACATCATTGTAATTAGTTAGCGGAAGGTTGCAAAGTAATAAATTATTTATTATAATGGATTTCCGCAAAGTAACGCCTGATTCTATCAATTATCATTTATTATTTGTATAAGTATAGCTGAAACAACAATATCAGTAGAAAAGATAACTTAGGATTTAATTTTCTTGAAGTCTTACTCGCTTTGCATAGCAAAAAAGGGGATGTCTTAGTTTGACGCACCAAAATAATACAGTGCTTAATCCAGTTGAATTTATAGTTGTGCTTACCGGCTTGTTGACGGCATAATCGAAATAATTGCTTGTTTTCAGCCCTCAGATATTCGTCGACGTATGCGTTATGTATACGTTATGTACGAGGTACTGCCAGCTGGTCAGATTTTAGACCTTTGTTTGCCCGTGCTGTTGTAAAGAAGTTGTCGCTGAGTATTTTCGTTGTAAATTTTATAACGACATTTTTGGACGCGAACACTTTTTATCAAAGTGTGGCATTCTATGGGCTGCTAAAATTTCAGATTTATTTATAGGGTGTTTGATGACACAACTCACGTCGTTCTGCTAAATTAGCAATCCCAACGTTACACAGCCGTGGCTGTTGCATCGCATAAATTTAATCTTGTAATAGATTAATCTGGCTAGGAACATCACTCGATCTCAGTTGGCTTTCTACCTGTGTCAAACGTGTTAAAAAAATAAGATAGCCACTCGTCTGTCAAAAACCTTCTAAAGGTCGCTATTAAAACGCGTCTGTCCACAAACCTTTAGAAGATTGCAATTTACTTATAAACTTCAGACACGAAACAGCCGCAGTAAATATCTGTATCTCCCTCTAACTCGTACAAAATTGTTTTAATATCATTAACCTACTTATCTCGGTATAGAATTGTCGCTATTGAAGTACAAAATGTGCCTTTTTGTGCCTGATTCGGGTCATCTTAAGTGGCCCACATTATTGTCGAGCTGGTGGTGTAAAAAAAATGTACGCAGAGTTGTGTTTTTTTTTAGTAATTATTGTAAAGTGTATTTATCTTTACAGTTCTTTTATTATTTATTCCACTAAAATCGCTTTTAGCATTTTTACCATGGAATTTAGAAAATATAAAAAAGGTGAATGTACAAATTTACACATATTCTATTAGCTTACTAATATATAATATATTATATATAATTCTTACAAGATAATATTTTATAGTTTCCATACATAATTATTAAGATATTGTCATTTTAATGACACGCGCCACGTAGGCAATAAATCCCTCGTTTAGGGTTGGACAGTATGCGCCAAAGCGACCATTTGGGCTGGGACAGTTGAGAGGCTATGGATTCGTCAATTATTATATCCAATCTATCTCCTAACTCTTTTAAAGAGTTTACTCTAATTTTTAATTTTTTCTTTAAAATAAATTTTAAATAATTGACTCTTTTAAAGAGTTAGGAGATATATTGGATACAGGTCACTGACATTTTCTTCAGCTCTCTATCAATAGCTGAATCGATTGAATTCCTGATACTTTCGGCGACGGTGATGTCCAACTGTAATTTCCATGAACATAGCAGAGTATAAACGCATTAGTGTTTTTATTGGTCGATATAAACAAGCTTAATTTTAGGAGGCTGTTTTGGGAAGAAAAAATCAAATAAAAAGGAATTGTTACACGACAAAACATATTTTATTACCATCCAATACAATCACCAGTACATAACATTATGTAAATATTAGCGACAATATTTTTTGACCTTATCCATATAATAGTGCGGCCAGCAAATTGTATTCTTATTAATTCGACGTACCAAAAGAATCATAATTAAAATAAGTATGAAATAAAGCTTTTTTAACCTATGTTTTAAAACATTTACGGCAGGAAAATTCTACGTAATGTAATTCGTTGCACTTGAATTAGAGATTAATGTTACATTGGAAATTTCTTTCATATTACATCTAGTAACATTATAATTCGCCCAGTGGTAATAACGAACCCACCATGTTTCTTGATTTGGGAGGGAACTGTGGGCAGCAGTATAGTATTTTATTGAATTCTTTAATCCACAACATATTTTTAAAAAGTAATATTTTATTTTTGTTATGGTCTAAGAGTGACAAACTGAGAGTTAAAGAACCTACCAACTTGTAAAAGTAGTAATTAATAAAATGCGGGAAAAATTAATCTTGTAGGTTTTGTACACTTGATAATTCAAAATTACTAATTTGAAAAACCCTATATTATACTGACAATAATTACTATTTATTGGTCACACTTCGTTCACACAAATTCTTATTTAATTATTTAATACCCTTTCAAATTCTCCTATATCGTATAAACATTACTTATTTAGAAGTACAAAACTAGAGAATAAAACGTTTCATCGCGTATATTAAAAGTTATTACTATTAAAAAATAATTTAATAATGTATTTTCTCTATAATCCTACAGAGACATTAGAAATGATTACGAACTAACTAAAAAAAACTACTTTTTTACAGGTCAGTTACAAAAGAACATTTTGTATTTCAAGTAAGTACAATTAACCGACGGAGGTAATAAAGATTTTACCTATGTTTTACTTTAACGTAAAAATAACGGATAAACTTTGGGCTTCTTTTGCGTGAATATAAATAAAGTGTCCATTTTATTAACTGAAAACCTAAAAAATATTTAATACTCAAAATATGACTTGTTTATATTGCACATAACACTTATTTACACAAAATAATAGTATAAATAGATTAAATAACTATTAGTCTAAATAATCAATAAAATAACTTAAAACTATTACTTAACTGTTGTTTAGAAAGACCAAAATAAAAATAATCAACAAAGTAATAAACATATAAGCTTTGGATTGACCTCTACTTTGGTTTGCTAGGAACTAAAACATTATTAATATTAATAGTGTCTAATTTAGATTAACAAAAATCATTGGCACTTCCGGATTCCGATATTAAAGTAAAAGAAAATGAATTACGTTTTATATTTTGAAATAATTTAAAATCAAAAAATATAGCTACCGATGAATATTTCCCTATTTATCATGGTAACACTTTCAAATACCAAAAAGTGATAGAACCTGTGAATACTGAATAGGGACTTATGATTAGAATATAACGAACATTGAAAGTTTAAAAATAGACCATCACCTGCGGACACACACACGCACACACACACGCACACTTGCCAAGAGTAGGGGTAAGTATAAAAACATTTAATTATTTTTTACATTTTTTTAGATTTAATTTTTTAAGATACTTGCGAAAAAATAAGAGCTTAACTCCGGACTGCAACCAATGCTACATCACTGGTTACAACTTTATAAGATTCATCAGATACAATAGTTAAATAAAATTTGAGTAATTAAACTACATAAAGTTAAAAATAAATAAAAAGCTGCCTTTTAAAATAATTGCACTGATGTGTACCTATTTAATGTATAACTATGTAACACATATAAACACATTTTTATGTTTGATGTTGCAAAATGCATTTCAAGATGTTTAGATAAAAGTTGCAGTCTAAGTAAAGACCATACGAAATAGCAGTGGCGATTGATGAGTGCGAAAAAAACCACCATCTTATTTTATTGGCGATTAATGTAAAGTCATTCAGTCGTAATATTAAAAGTTCAGCCTAGTCTGATGTGTATATTACTAGTAAAAATGTTCATAGTATGATATCGCATCACATTGCACAGTTTTTGGGAGATTTTCACGACTGTTTAACCCAGCGGACAGTCGCTGACGCATATATCTCAAGTCGCGATATGAACTGCTCCAGATTTGTAAATAATAAATATATCATTAAAATAATACTATAATATACTAGTAATGTTATTGACTTTAATTTTGAGGTTCTCATAAAACCACATTTGTTTTAGCTTTGAACAATTTAAAGCGTTACTGCAGAAACAAGTGTTATGAACGTAGCATAACAATATTTTAGGATTGAATATAGTACACTACTTTTTGGCAAGATTAAGTAAAAATATACCCAAATTACACTAAGTTATACTTACACTATCAGGGAGTTTTATAAATATTTGAATGTTGGATCGGTGTTATTATCGTTATAACAATATTTTAATGAAGTGACGCAATCATTTACGGAATTTCCTAATGCTATAAGTCTCTTATAATAAAATGCAATATATTATTCAAATACACCAATATTCATTCTAGTTTACCTATGACTCGAAACAACGGGTGCTACCTTAGTGAATATTACCTAAATCCACAGAGAGAAATGAGAAAGTTCACATTTCATTCTCTGCTTTTACAAACGTCCTTGTTGCCTGGGCTTAAACGGTCAACTTACAACGGGTCATCGTATCTCTCGGACCTTGTCTCCCTCATTAGGTCTAACGGATCAAGGATTTGATTCGTTCTTGCCCCGCGTCGACCTTTAGAGAACTGACTCTTAATATCATACTTTTCCATCCAATTTCGCAAAGTTTTTCTCGGTACACCGTACTTGTTTGACGCCGCGTAAACACTGTAGCCCTTTTTCACCGCTATTAACGCATCCCGAAGATGCTGTGAGGAATACTGCTTGTAGGATTTCTCTTGAAAGACATCGGTCTCTATGTTAACGATTGCGTTCGGTCGTCTGCCAACGATGCGCGGTCGTGCGTGTATGTTCAGCGGGATTCCGTGGTCCATATCGATAAAATGCCTCGTCACAATTTCCGTCGACGTCCGCACACCTGCAACAAGCGAGGAGAAGAAACGGCCCTTTAGCTGTGTTTTTTTAAATAGTAGCTTTTTTGTTTCGTTGGTGGCAACATTCAAGCTGTCAGATTGACAGGGCGTTTCTTTTCCTGGCTTCCTACAGGCGGGATTAGGATATAGGTTTGCATTTTTATGTAAAAAGCGAGGAAAAGCCGCTCTTGGTTTAAGTAGGTTTGAAACAAAAAATGATAAACGTTGTTCTGGGTAATAAGATAAAAAAGCTTGTGTTCTTAAAATTAATAATATTTCATATTTATCTTGCTGGCTGACATCTGTTTGATTTCACTACCAGAAGAAAAAAATTGAGCATAGGAACTAGCAATTTTTTTAACATATATTACATAACAATTATTGGAATTAGCACTGATAGCACGGTGAGGATATTTTCACCTCTACAAGGTATCATTGTTGCATACAATAAAAAGCAAGGGCTCATATAATATATGTTTATTAACTCCCGTAACATAGCAAAAACTGGTACAATCTTTGAAATCGTAACGCTAAAATTCATAATCGGTCGGACGTATAAACTGCGTGTTATAATATAACATGTTTAAGGATGCATTCAAATATTGTGAGTTTACACAAGAGTTTTTCAAATATTTATATACAATTACGCTCTTTATAGAATGTTAATGAATTTTAAAACACTTTTCAATGCGGTAAAGAATGTTTAACAATTATAATAATACATCAACACCAAATATTATTAATACAATTATTATTTTGAATTTACAAGTGTAGTTAAAATGTTAGTTAAGTTTATATACACATCTCTGCGATTTTTATAAAGAACATCTGTAATTGGTTTGGTATATTGATAAAGTTTTAGTTTTCGACATAGAACAGATGATTTCATCAAAAGTCCTTAAGTGATAAAAAACTATTAAACACGGTGAAACACAATATAAACCAACATAATACTGAATACAACACTGATATAGTTTATTATAATATATCTACATAGCCGCTTATATCTATTTATGTATAAATTTATATATACTAAATAGGCACTTCTTGGATTTTGGGCGTCCGTGACCTAGATCAGACAAATTGCGGCAACATTTACACTATCCTAAGGCAACCATTTCGATTAAGGCCATCTATAAGTGTACCCTTTTCGTTGGATAAATCTCTTCGATTATATCAAAATTTACCCATTTGAACACTCAACGAAAGCCACCCTGTGTTCTTAGCAATTATATTTCAATTTCAATATACTCGTGTTTTACGTGGACATATGAATTCTGTTAAAGAATCCTTAACAATAAAAAAGCGCAAAAGCACATTTCTATAAATTTTAAGTAACCTCAATCAAAAAATTATCCAATTAAAAACTTATGTTAAAATTTATATTTAATCAATGGATAATATATATTGCACACGATATTGCCATTCCTTTAAAATTGTATAAAAAAGTTTACGTTTTTTAAGGAAACATTTTAAACATGTGAGTGGGTTTTATATATCATTATTATTATATGACTCTGCGCTTCTTATTCCACTAGCGTACGTGAGCGTAAAAACTACAGCCTAGTTTGCATAGATGTCTCTGTGATACGATAGCTTTTCATCAGTTAATCAAATATATTAAGCTCAAAAGCAAAAGGGCGCTGAATTATCGACGATATTTTGACAGTTGACATTACAGTAAAATGGTCATTAGTTTTTTGTTTAATTTTCGAAGTGTTCCTAATTATTGTCAAAGCTTGTTTTCTGTTTTTTTTTTAAATATATTAGTTATAGTATACAACTTTGTGTTTTTTTCTCTGTCATCCTCCTAGTTTTGGTTTTATAGGGCGGCAAAGCTTAATGTAACTATATTACCCTCACGTATATAATACACGTAATATTAGTAAAAGGTTAGTATGACATAATATATATTTAAAATGTAGAAACTGCTGAAGCGGGATACTGTGTATGCCAAGTTGATGCGTTAGCTTGATCGGCGACCTAACGAACTTTTATTGTCGTTCTCGCTCTCGCATGTATGAAGCCCATTCGCTGCTAACTTCACAGACTCATAGATCCGTAACCATTTTTTTAAAGATGAAAGTAATGTAATGATCTGACGTTTGAAAAAAAGCTTCGTGGGCAGGTTTGACACGTGCCGCCTATATCTGTTTGATTACATTTTAGAAATTATATTTCGAATGGTAAGTGTAACGGTTGCAGTCCTTCTAAGATCCCACTTAACATGAAGTGGCCGTGTCAGTCTTACATATAGCGATCGTCGCACCAATCTCTACATCTATATCATAAAAGACGTATTAACTATATTGCGTCGCACCAATCTCTACATCTATATAATAAAAGACGTATTAGTTATATGTATTAATTAATTACCTTTTTTTTTGGCAGCAAATTACAACGCACTAACCGCCTTCTTTCAGTCTACTTATATTCGGTCCCATTTGCTTTCTTAGGCGTTGTTACCTCTTCGCAACCTTGTAATGATCACCATTTATTAAAATTTTATGTTAATTATTCCAAATTTATATAAAATTGCCACAATCATCAGGTCACGTCCACGCCCCATAAGATTCAGGGCTGGATTAACATAAAGACAAGGTGGGCAACTGCCTATAGGCTTCGTATAATTTAACAACCTGTTACAAATACATTTATTTTGTATACTATTTTTCTTTTTCTAAGGAAGGTTAATAATTTATTACAGACTACGAATATTTTTATCCAACAAAGCTCTTTTGTAAACCGGGACAGGGGACTAAAGGTATACTGCCTAAGGATCACTACGTGAATTAATCCGGCCCTGTGAAGATAAAAGAGAATGTATTTAGAGGCCTTAAAAGCCACTCTTGCTTTAAAATAATCGAATCTTAGGAACAACACACATAGTTAATGGCCTTTATGATGTATCGATCGACCGATTTGTCAAAACATTCAACAATATTTCTTACACTTACTACACCTAGAGAAGTAAATATCGTATATTCCTTTTCGAACTTATTCCATTAGCGTAATTAGTATAGTATACATTAGATGATGATGAGGCGTAAGTCATAGCGAACACAGATAATAGAGTTTAGTATCTAATTTTAATCATCGGCTATGATAGGCCGGCCCAAAAAACAAAACAAATTTCCATTATAGTTGTAACCATCAGTCGATCGCTCATCGCTTGACCTAAAGTTTAATTTAAAGCAAACTTACAAATAGATCATTACTAAAATAACTTTCGTTGGAGCTAAAGAACAACTCAATACTAATTAAGTACATTATCATCTTAAACAAAACATAAATAAATTATCACTATGTTTAAGCCGTTACAGCACGTAGTATTTGTTATCTGTGATGACGGTCATTTTAACCTATCTGTAGTTTTTTTAAGATTGGACCAAAGTTTAACACGTCGATATGATGTTATACTGCTGATTAATAGCTTCGATATATCCTAATCTAATGTCATTCTGTGACAGGTCCTGATTATATGAGTTGGATCTTGATATATTTTAATTTTAAAATATGTTATAATTACACTAGGTTTTCTCTTTTATCGTAAAGGCGTTTTTAAGCGGATTTCAAATTAAACAGACCAAAAAGTTTTTAAATTATTTTCCTGTTATTTCTGATATTTCCATACTTTTAAATAATGTCGATTTTATATTCACATATATAATTATTTAATTAAGTAATAGTTCTATTCTCATGTTTTGCATCAACAGTTTATCTTATTTAAATTATGAAAATCAATTCTTGTTAAATGTGAGAAAACTCATGATCATTTAGTATAAGGTAAAATTTTATTGCGAAAGCAACAAGCTGTCCTTTAAAAATAATTTTAAGAAATTTAGGCTTTTGCTTCATATGATGGCAATAAATTATTATATATCCTGTATTTACATATGTGTCATTTTAAATCAAATACATATATAAAAAATCATTTCCTGTAGAAGACTGTCATCACAGATGAATTACGTTTACCGCTAAAATTTCATATTCAAGTCTTTTCTTTATCTTTGGACGCTGTCCGTACAAACATACGATTTTTTTATTAAGGCCAATTTTTACTCAAATATTCATTATTACAATTTAACTACTATACTACAATCGATTAACATAACAAGTACAACGCTAGATAAAAATAAATAAATTAATACGGGCCTTCGAATGTAAAGAAATAAAACAAAAAAAACTACCAAATTGGTAATAAAATATTATCTGGTATTACCAACTTTAGCATAAACTTCTTGCGTTACTTTTTATATAGACTTTTGTTTTAACGTTAGTTTATAAAACAGAAAAATAATATATATATATAACATTCGAGGCGTCTCTTCTTTTTTTTAAATAAAAATCTTTGGATGTAATATTGCAATGAATAAAGAAATTATTTTAACAAATAAATAAAAGATTTTTTTTTTAATTTATGATCACTTACGGATTAATTGCCACATAAGAGTTACCGTCAACTTAGCTAAATTAATGTGAACTTTATGACGGTAGCCCACCACTTTTACACGTTGCTTATAAACTATGCGGTTTATTAATGATTTATATTAAGTTAGTATTATATAAAAATCAAATTACTAAAATAGTTTATTATTCTAATAGTACTTTTGGGACCCATTAGTTTTAGCGCAAATAACGATTACGACATTTTAATAAAATCTTTATAGACATGTCAAGCAATCAAAGCGATTTGAGACAAACAATATTTTATTGTTGGAGCGGAGCTGCCGTGGCGCAAGAAAACGATTTTGAAATCATCAATTTAGTGGTTCCAGCCCATGGGCTCGAACTCTAGTTTATCGTGCAAGTATAACATTATAAAATATATGGTGTTACAATTCATGCACGTTATATTTGGTAGTTTTTATTTTATTTCCGTTAAAAAAAATGTTACCCCCATATTAGGCTTTTCTCCTGTAAAGAGAAGGCAGTTTACATATATAAAGTGCGACAAACATCTATATCGGAACAATTATTTGTAGGAAATACAAATACTTGTTCCGTACGGGATTTAAACTGACGGCCCTCAGCGCCGCAGATCAATGCGCTTAGCATTGAGTCACCGTTACTGCGCCATGGAGACATCAGTTATTTTGTGAATTGACGGAATTTACGAGTTTTATTGATTCATAAACACATTAACATTTTTTTAAAATATTTTTTCAATTTAGAGATAATGTACCTCTAAATCGCACAGTTTATTAACAACGTGTAAAACTACTATTTCATTAAACTTAAATACTCGCAAAAGAGCAATTTTCTCTAAAATCTTTGCTTATTCTTTGGCAGTAATTTAATGGTCGTATACGCCACTGGGGCAAATTTTAATTTTTTTATCTGCGTGTTTATTCATGTAAAGACATATTTAAAGCAGTGCTGCCATCTTCGCAACTATTTTCTACCGTAGGCGTATCATTTTTATCTTCAACTCTTATTTCATCTTCGCTTGATACTTGAGTACCAGCGAAAGAAAGGAAATGTTTGCCGAAGTCTAATTCAGTGTCATATGACGGTATATCCTCTGTGCCGCTCTTTTCCCCAAAACTTTGACTATCTGCGACGGAGTTCGGATATCCGTCGTAGTTTTTATATTCGCGCTGTTTCTTGCTGTTCTCGACAAACTGCTTCAATTGCTGCGGCATAGGGAACGAAGATTTTATGTGACATCTCTTCATCCAGTTCCGAAGGGATTTGCGAGGTACTTTGTGAGTTTGAGCAGCTCTGGAATGCAAAAGGCTTTAAATGAGTTAAATCAAAAATGAAAGAAGCATAAAACCACAACTACGTTTAGGTGGTGTGAGAGTTTACCGCGAAGCGATGGTGTAAGAACATAGAATACTATAATACACAATAGAATGGCAGATAGAATGGCTGTCAACTTTATTTTGTACGAGATTTGGCGTCGCCAAACCCGATTCCCTGTGTTCACAGACTGAGTAAATTTACACATTTAGACTTTTGATTAATGTTCAAGATCATCATTACAAAAATCGTTTAAATTTTAATACATATTTATTTTTAAATAAATATGTATTAAAATTTTAAGTTTTAATAAAAAAACCGGCCAAGAGCGTGTCGGGCCACGCTCAGTGTAGGGTTCCGTAGTTTCCCGTCCGTCACAATAAGTGTTCCCACTTATGAGTTTAAAGGTATCCATTATGTTCGCGCTCCAGCAGCGCTCCGCGCTCCTGCAACTGCTCCCGGTAGTGGGTACTGTTGTTTCCATCCAAGTTCAAAATGATTTTCCTAGAAAGTCCTTATAAAGTTCTACTTTTCAGACTTTTTCATATTTTCTAAACTTATGGTTCAAAAGTTAGAGGGGGGGGGGGACACATTGTTTTTTACTTTTGGAGCGATTATTTCCGAAATTATTGACATTATCAAAAAATGATTTTAGTAAACCCCTATTCATTTTAAATACCTTTCCAACAATATATCACACGTTAGGGTTGAAATGAAAAAAAAAATCACTTCCCACTTTACATATAGGGGGGGCTACCCTAATAAAACATTTTTTTCCAATTTTTATTTTACCACTTTGTCGGCGTGATTGATACACATATTGGTACCAAATTTCAGCTTTCTAGTGCTAACGGTCACAGATATTAAGCGAGGACGGACAGACGGACAGACAGACATGGCGAAACTATAAGGGTTCCTAGTTCACCCTAAAAATTTGGCATTTTTTAAATAATTTGCATGCACAATTTGGAAACGATAGTAACGTCAAAACACATCTCGTGTTGACATTTATACGTGTGAATTGACGTGTTAGTGACATTTTAGTAGCTACGCGGGCTCCGCCCACTCCCCCGCTCTATTATGTATGTATTATAGTATTCTATGTGTAAGAATATACAAGTACTTGGGTTACTACGATATTGGTATCGTCCCGGGGGTGTCGTAAGTGGCGACAGAGGGAAACAAACCAGGAGGTGAACAGCACTTAATAATAACTAAAAATAAAAAAGGGGCAGCTGCCAACCCGCCTACCAAGCATGGCAACTATGGCAAATATCTACCCTGTAAGGCAATCCATGGGGGGAAGGCCTATGTGCAGCAGTAGACTTTGACAAGTTGTAACGGTAACTGTGTAGGACACTCCATCATACATCGTTTTAGCATATTGTCCCGTGGCTTTCGTAAGAGGTGATAGGCTATATATATATATATATATATATATATATATATATATATATATATATATATATATATATATATATATATATATATATGGGGGATCGTTTTACTGTCTGGAAAAAATAGGGTGTAAATAGATGAAAGTCTAAAATTTCTTATCGGAGCAGTTTCTACTCCATAACTCTCTCCAAAATGAAAGAAGACCCAGAGTGAGAACTATGCAGGCTTAAATATGTTTACATGTTTAAAATACAAACTAAAGATAGTTAGCAATGCCATCTATGTGCAAAAAGGATTTACTAGTTTTCGGAGAAACTATTTCGTATAAATTAGGCGAAGGAGGCTTCTTTTTTGTTTGCCTACTTTTTATATGGACTGCCGCCAAATAGTAGTGCAATAACTGATGTGTTCTGATTTCAAAAATGAGAGAGCATAATTACAGTCTCCCTCAGAGGTAAGAACTCTTCAACCTAGCAAAGCTACGGATGGTCACCATTGTTTGAAATTAGTTGCCGGTGTCAATAGATTGCAGACTGTTACTGTCAGATAAACGTTTCATACGTATTTTTGTCACGTGTATTTGTAATATTGGAATAAACATTACCTATAAATACTTCCACCTTTCTTAACATCCATTAAAGCTGCCCACATAGCTTCATTGGAATATCGTCTGTTAGGATTAAATTTTCCCATCATAACCCGTTCCAAATCCTTACGCGAGAGACCTGATGAACTGACTTCTTTACCCTCCAAGAACTGATCTAAGTCAGATTTTAACACTGTGTCACCAATATCCATGTTTTTGTCTTTAAAAATGGGCGGTCGTCCACGCCTGCGAATCTGTGGTTTTTCTAAAACTTTCGGGTAAATCTCTTTGCTGGTAACACTATCTATTTTTGGTTTTGGTATTAGCTCGACTTCTGACTTTTGAACTTTAATTTCGGTTTTCGGTTTTTTAACTTGATTAGCTTTCAATAAAGATACTTCAAGTTCGCCATTTTGCTCGAGCCACGATTTGTAATAGTCGTTTTCTGAATTCTTGTGTTCATAGACTTCTTCTGATGACATATTGTTTGTGTTTAAGCCATATTTAGAGAATTCGTTTTGTATTTCAGTTGCGTTCATTTTCGATAGTCTATTTATATATTCTGAGTTTGCTTTAGCCAAATTTTGTAATTTAGTTTGGAACAGTAATTCACTCTCAGGTTTCACTCTGATGTATGGATGGCTTCGACCTGCAATTGGTAGGAAACTATAAATACATAACGTGTAAATAAAAGTGAACCATGAATGTCCTTTGAAATATATGGAAATATTGACAAATGACATGTCTGTAAGATAGAAAATAAAAACAAATTCAAATGCTTTTACGACCAAACCATTTTTCAATAACAAAAACATTCATGGTTCAATTTCTACTAAAAAAAAACTACCAATTTGGTTATATTTGAAAATGGCCTACCTTACAGACATTCATTGTTCATATTTTTACAATGTCCATTCACAATATGATCTGCAGTTTAATACTCTATTGTTTTCACACACAACCCAACTGTTTTTTTTTTCACGATGGTAAAACGTTAATATACAGATCGAAAACGAAAATCATATTTCAATAAATGAAAAATATATACTTGTAATAGAAAGCAAGTGACAAAATGGAAGTCACATTGCAAATAAACATTGAATAATTAGTTAAAAATAAAAATTTATTGTAAATAAAAAAAATATATAAAAAATAAATTTAATACTATCCTTACCTGATGTTTGCCCTAGACTACTCCCAGGTTTTCCAGATTCTTCCTCCTAAAAAATAAATAAAAATTCTTAAATCACTCAGTATATACACGGCCATTGTCAGTAAGGTGTCCCTTAGACCGAACTTCGGTCACGACGGCAGGTTTCAACGGAGACCAACCATCTGAGCAGGTAAGGTTAGTAGCGTACACTCTTTATTCCCTCATTCTCATAGATCGATGGGACGGTAGTCCGACACAACCGGAGAGAGTCCAGGCGTAAGACCAACTTTACGTGCTTTCTGAGGCACGGGGGTGGAACACCGGCACAATCCTGACTACAGGCTGCTGCTGAGAATTTCTTGACAAAAAACCGAATAAATAATTTTGGCCCGACCCAGGATTCGAATCCAGGATGCCATAACCAGCAACCGTGTTAACGATTACTAGACTAGGTAGACAGGCAGCTTGGGGTTGCCATCCGACACAAACTGAGTGTGGTGGGTCAATGTCTATTTTGAAATTAGTGATATTTAAAACTATAGTTAAATTACTCACGTTCCGAAATTAAAGTTCAACAAGTTAACTAAGAAGTTACACTAAACAATTTGAAGCACAATGTGTTCGCTTTAGAGAAGTGAGGATTCAGGGTATAAATGCCAAGGGGCTGCCGCTTATTTTCAATATCCGAGGTTTCGAAGACTTGGTAGCACTCAGTTTGATGAGTGTTTGATAGCAACTTGTTTGACATCCTGATGGCTTAATAATACCTACAAGCTAACCCGAGTGTACAATACAATACAATAATGGAGGATTTAAAAATTAAGTACATTCACCAATAGCAATATAATATACCATAACCTCATATATATACATATATTTAAAAAAAAACATAAAATAACACTTTTTAGGAACTGTCCTTCTTTTACACGTGCCAGTGTCGCCTGATACACAATGGAGGGCTATATTATATTAAGATTTATAAGCGGTAGAGCCATGCTGCAGTTATATTAATAGTAAAGTTGTAGCATGAATGGGTCGGCTCAACTGGGGAAGGACCACGCTCCCACAGAATATCAACGTAAAATAGTAGCTTAATGCTGCTGTGTTTTATATGGTGAGTGTAGAGAACTGGAGACCCTTTTTACTGGAAACGAGGCATTCCGTCTTAGTCCTCACAGGTGACAACGCATCTACATTTTGATTCGTAATCGAGGATAGATGTAGATGTCTATGGGCCACAACAACCACTTACCATCAGGTGGACTGTGTGCTCGCTTGTAGCAGAAGTGGTGATAGAAGAAGCAGAAGATAGAAAAATGCACTGACCTAGCTTTTACAATGATTTATCTATTTATTACAGCCAATCAAAAGTTCCCTGCTGAACATATCTCTTCCCATATGTTGCCTCACGGAGGGGATATTTGCCATAGATTTTAAGATATTATCAGGAACACGCTACTGCCTATCTCCTGTATTATTTTCCTCTGTTGCCTCTTACGACAACCAGAACATGATAGCACACAGTCACCTGATGGTAAGTGCAGATAGTGGTCTATAGATATCTACATCTATACGCAATAAAGAATAGAAATGCAGATGCGTCGTCACCCCTGAGGACTAAGATGGAATGCCATACTATCGAAGACGGCACCTTATTTCGATGGCTGAAACAAACTGGACACATGTAGTTGCAGTAAAGGGTCTACTTTGGTAACATCAGGCATCCTGCAAGGCTCTAATCTGGGTCCCGTATTGTTTGTTATAGTATTTTATAAATGGCATTTTTTTATTTTACGTCGTACGTTAAAATCTGCTGTTGCCAACCAACTTGCCAAGAGTGACTATGGCAAAATCCCTCCATAAAATGTTATTGCGTGGAAGCCTAGTACCGTAGGACGGCCCCTCACTAGATTTATATGTGGTACAGCCACGCTGCAGCTATATTATGGTTATAGTACGAATGGGTCGGCTCGACCGGGGAACGAACACGCTCTCACAGAATACCAACGCAAAATAGCAACTTAATACTGCTGTGTTTCGTATGGTGAGTGTAGAGATCCGGAGACCTTTTTTTACTGGAAACGAAGCATTCCATCTTAGTGCTCAGGGGTGACATCGCATCTACGTATTTGATTCTTTATAAGGATAAATGTAGATGTCCACGAGCCACAGCATCCACTTACCATCAGGTGAGCTGTGTGCTCGTTTGTCGTCCTTATTCCACAAAAGAAACTTGTGAGTCGATAGACACAGGAGGCTCAGGATCGTGCTTTATGGCACTCCTTGGTGGAGGCCTATGTTCTTCAGTGGATCTGTGAAGAGCTGTAATAATGATGATTGGTGCCAGCGGGGATTTAATTCGGATTGTTTACGTGAGTCGAATTCTAAGGAGATCGAGGGCAGAGCGGAGAACGTTTTCACGTGATAAAGCCATGTTGCAGCTATATTATGGCTGTAGCACGTATAGGTCGGCATGACTGGGGTAGAAACACTCTCTCACAGAATACCAGCGCAAAATAGCAGCCTAATGCTTACTGCATATCGTATGTCTCGTCTCGTTTGAATTTTGATTCTGAATCAAAGATAGATGTAGATGTCTATGGGCCACATTCATATTCAAGGATCGATGTAGATGTCTATGGGTCACATTCATATTCAAGGATCGATGTAGATGTCTATGGGCCACATTCACATTCAAGGATCGATGTAGATGTCTATGGGCCGCCACATTCATATTCAAGGATCGATGTAGATGTCTATGGGTCACATTCATATTCAAGGATCGATGTAGATGTCTATGGGTCACATTCATATTCAAGGATCGATGTAGATGTCTATGGGTCACATTCATATTCAAGGATCGATGTAGATGTCTATGGGTCACATTCATATTCAAGGATCGATGTAGATGTCTATGGGTCACATTCATATTCAAGGATCGATGTAGATGTCTATGGGTCACATTCATATTCAAGGATCGATGTAGATGTCTATGGGCCACATTCATATTCAAGGATCGATGTAGATGTCTATGGGTCACATTCATATTCAAGGATCGATGTAGATGTCTATGGGTCACATTCATATTCAAGGATCGTTGTAGATGTCTATGGGTCACATTCATATTCAAGGATCGATGTAGATGTCTATGGGTCACATTCATATTCAAGGATCGATGTAGATGTCTATGGGTCACATTCATATTCAAGGATCGATGTAGATGTCTATGGGCCACATTCATATTCAAGGATCGATGTAGATGTCTATGGGTCACATTCATATTCAAGGATCGATGTAGATGTCTATGGGTCACATTCATATTCAAGGATCGATGTAGATGTCTATGGGTCACATTCATATTCAAGGATCGATGTAGATGTCTATGGGTCACATTCATATTCAAGGATCGATGTAGATGTCTATGGGTCACATTCATATTCAAGGATCGATGTAGATGTCTATGGGCCACATTCATATTCAAGGATCGATGTAGATGTCTATGGGCCACATTCATATTCAAGGATCGATGTAGATGTCTATGGGCCACATTCATATTCAAGGATCGATGTAGATGTCTATGGGCCACATTCATATTCAAAGGATCGATGTAGATGTCTATGGGTCACATTCATATTCAAGGATCGATGTAGATGTCTATGGGTCACATTCATATTCAAGGATCGATGTAGATGTCTATGGGTCACATTCATATTCAAGGATCGATGTAGATGTCTATGGGTCACATTCATATTCAAGGATCGATGTAGATGTCTATGGGTCACATTCATATTCAAGGATCGATGTAGATGTCTATGGGTCACATTCATATTCAAGGATCGATGTAGATGTCTATGGGTCACATTCATATTCAAGGATCGATGTAGATGTCTATGGGTCACATTCATATTCAAGGATCGATGTAGATGTCTATGGGCCACATTCATATTCAAGGATCGATGTAGATGTCTATGGGACACATTCATATTCAAGGATCGATGTAGATGTCTATGGGTCACATTCATATTCAAGGATCGATGTAGATGTCTATGGGTCACATTCATATTCAAGGATCGATGTAGATGTCTATGGGCCACATTCATATTCAAGGATCGATGTAGATGTCTATGGGCCACATTCATATTCAAGGATCGATGTAGATGTCTATGGGCCACATTCATATTCAAGGATCGATGTAGATGTCTATGGGCCACATTCATATTCAAGGATCGATGTAGATGTCTATGGGCCACATTCATATTCAAGGATCGATGTAGATGTCTATGGGCCACATTCATATTCAAGGATCGATGTAGATGTCTATGGGCCACATTCATATTCAAGGATCGATGTAGATGTCTATGGGCCACATTCATATTCAAGGATCGATGTAGATGTCTATGGGTCACATTCATATTCAAGGATCGATGTAGATGTCTATGGGCCACATTCATATTCAAGGATCGATGTAGATGTCTATGGGCCACATTCATATTCAAGGATCGATGTAGATGTCTATGGGCCACATTCATATTCAAGGATCGATGTAGATGTCTATGGGTCACATTCATATTCAAGGATCGATGTAGATGTCTATGGGCCACATTCATATTCAAGGATCGATGTAGATGTCTATGGGCCACATTCATATTCAAGGATCGATGTAGATGTCTATGGCAAGCATTCACTTACCATCAGGTCGACTATAAGCTCGTTTGTCACCCTTATTCTATGAAAAAAGAGTTCTCAATTATCTTTACCTCGTTATATTCAATATGGTCGTTGTCCAGTTCTCCATAATACAGGCCGTCTTCTTCCACAGTCTCCTCTTTGACTTCCTTGACTTCCGGGTTCCGTTCTCGCTCCTCCGACTTTCTCTTCTTTGGTCCATTGACTGACGTTGTGCTTGTTGTTGTGCTCGTGTTGTTGTTGTTGGTGATTGGTTTTTGTTGTTGGGGCATTGGGCCTGAAGAAAAGGCGGTGTTATTATAGAAAAAAAATTTAGATGATTGCAAAAAAAGGTGAATATTCTTAATTCGACTATATTGTGCGATCGCACGGTAATATGCCTGCTGTATAGCTAGAAGAACCGATAACTGATTGAGAAAAAAGGTTCTCGAGTGGCAGCCTCGTACCGGTAGGCGTAGTGTAGGGCGACCTCCCACTAGATGGAGTGACGACCTAAGAGATACAGGAAGTCGATTGATGCAGGTGGCTCAGGACCGTGCTTTGTGGCGTTCTTTTGGGGAGGCCTATGTTCAGCAGTGGACTTGTGAAAGATTGTAATGATGATTAAGATGTGCGATCGAGTTTACTCGTCACCTCGCTGGAACGCGCTGCCCCTCCCACTTACCAGCTCGCATCCCCGCGTTCGTCCCGTCGCGTCAGTATTGTATAGCCGTACAGCGTAGCAGTGCTTCGAAATGACGTCATAGCCGCCAGGTTAGGAAAGAGGAACATACAACTCGATCTAATTAAATTGGGTTTGGTATGTTCTTTTTTATATGTATGTTAGGCTATATATTCGTCAACTAGCTTTTACCCGCGGCTCCGCTCTTTTCCGCGTTTAATTTAGACCGACCGTTTTTTTTTATTGCACCTTTGATTAAAACGACTGTGATTTGTAATAAAAAATCTAAAATTTTTTTATACAGAAATATAGCTTATGTTGTATTCTGGTTTGTAATCTATAATATTGCCAAGTTTCATCAAAATCCGTTCAGTAGTTTTTACGTGATTGAGGCATTTTTTTTTTTTTTTTTTTAGGGGGGGTGTTTGGGGGCGGTTTTTGTTTTTTTAGGGTTTAGTTGAGATTCTAGTTGTTTCATAGAGCTTGTGATATTCCTTACATCGCTCAGGATCAAAAAGTTAGACTTTTAATAAAAAATGACACTCACCAATTAAAACACAGCAGCATTACCAGCGTACAGTAACAGGTTAATGCTGCTATGTTTCGTATGGTGAGAGTAGAGACCCGAAACCCCGTTGTACTGGAAACGAGGCATTCCCTCTTAGTCCTCAGGAATGATAACAGATCTGCAATTTGATTTTTAATCGAGGATAGATGTCGTCTATAGTCTATTTATTTATTTATTTATTTAATCTTCATTATACACCTTATATACTAAGGGATATAAAGGGCGGACTTAATGCCTTATGGCATTCTCTGCCAGTCAACCCTGGATGATTTGAGAAACTGTGGCAGGTGTAACCAAGCACTTCATAAATAAATAATAATGATATAAAATAAAATGCAAATGAATAGAATAGATATATAGTTAGTAAAATATACATACTTACTTAATATATAATATAGGATAAATAATAAATATATAAACGGGTACTTCTATACAAAACTATAAGTAAACAAAATATTATGAGACAACAATAAAATAACACAATACATATTAAAATACATTGTACAAAATATTGCTTATAAAGTGAAAGAGAGAAAAAACACAAAAACAATAGTCGGATAGTCAGGTGGTATTATTCTTACGACTGAATTCTCGAACTAGTCGTTTAAAATAATTCTTGTTATTAGTTTTCTTGATATAAACAGGCAAGGCATTCCAGAGCAGTATAGACTGCACAGTAAAAGAGGAATTATAGAAACCACTCCTATGTGGTGGAATACGAATTTCAAGACAATTTTGGGAACGGGGAACTCTATCGTTAGTAGAATACAAATATTGAAAGTTATCCTTAAGATAAGAGGGAGAATTGGGGTCATTTAAAAATGAATGTAGTACTTGCAAAGTTCGGGAGCTACGCCTTTGATGAATAGATAGCCATTTAAGGTTAGATCGGTACTGGGAAATATGATCATACTTACGTAAGCCGAAAATCAATCTAATGCAATTGTTGAGAAGGCATTCCAACTTATCGAGAAGATATTGAGATAGATCTGGGTAACACACATCCGCATAATCAATAATGGGTAATATCAAAGTCTGGATTAGCAGAAGTTTAGTTTTAAAAGGCTGAAAGTTTTTGAGACGACAAAGAGAACGTAAGGTGGCAGTTACTTTATGGCTTGTTTCGGCAACTTGAACTTCCCAGCTTAAGGTATGGTCTATATGTAAGCCAAGATTTTTGACAGACTTACAAAATGGCAACAACGTGCCATTGTAAAATACGGGAGCAAGGTTATCGTTATTAATCTTAGCTAACATTCTGCTACTACCTATAACCACTGCTTTGCATTTGGTTGGGTTAACCAAAACACCATGTCTGTTCGACCAATCTCTAATAGCATCGAGGTTGTGGTTGAGTTTATGAATATTATCATTAAGGTCGTTAACACTAGATTGCACATAGAGCTGAAGATCATCTGCATACAGATGGTACGAACAGTTGAGAACTGAAGTGACAGAATTTATGAATAAAGAAAACATTAAAGGAGAAAGTATTCCGCCTTGCGGCACGCCTGTTTCAATGTCAATCCATCTTGAGAACTCTTGTCCTAATCGTACTGATTGCTGGCGGCCGCGAAGACAGGATGAAAACCATTCCAAAGCTGGGATTGAGAATCTAAGATTAGTTAGGAAGGCTATAAGGATATCGTGGTCGACTGTGTTAACAGCATTTGAAAAGTCAACAAGCACTACCACCGTAAGCTTTTGCTCATCCATTCCCATTCTAATATCATCTATAACTTTTATCAATGCAGTGGTAGTACTGTGACCTGCACGAAAGCCTGACTGATATTTATTCAGCAGATTGTGTTTGGTTATGAACATAGAGATTTGCTTGTGAACACAGGCTTCCAGAACTTTAGATAGGTATGGCAATATTGAAATTGGTCGGAAATGGGTAGGTAATGAGGGATTAGGTATTTTAGGAAGTGGTCGCACAAATGCTTTTTTCCACTGAGTAGGATATTGACCTGAGTCAAGGGAATAGTTTATAATATGTGTGATTGCAGGCAAAAGGCACTCAAGGATCATGGATACCATCATAACCTTACTAACCTCATAGCAACCCACAGCCTTGGATTTAATAGCTAGTAAAGATTTCTGTATCTCATCCTCAGTCACAGGTAAGAAGTGAAAAAAAGGAATAGGAGGAGATGGCATGGATTGAATGAAAGCTATTGTCGTAGAACGAACTGTGGGATCCAAAGGAGAAGTAGAAATAAAGTGATGATTTATTTCATCCAGAGTGATTGATGGACGACGGTCAGATGTAACGGACTTACTAATAAGTACCTAGTGTTTTAAGAAATTTCCACACATCAGCGGCTGAAGAGTTTGCAATATTACTATGGATATAACGGCGTTTAGCATGTCGTACCATCTGATTGCATCTGTTTCTTAGCACTGTGTAGCGATCCCAGCTGTCCTGAGTACGATGCTTCTTAAATTTCACAAATGCTCGATCTCGCCTAGTCATTGCCAACCTTACGGCCTCAGTCATTCACGGGGCTGGTAAACGCTTCACTCTTACTTGATGTTTGGGAGCGTGTTTGTTGTACAGACCAAGAACTATATTATTAAGGATTGAGACTTTATCGTCAATACAAGTTGATTTAAATAAAGCGGTTAAGTCAATACGATAGGCGTCACTTTTAAGTTTATCAAAATCCATTCTAGAGAAATTACGAATGTATAGTACGACGGGATTGAGTTTAGGAGAAATCAGCTTATATGATATATAAATAAGATCACGTCGTGAAAAAGCAGGAGCCGATAGGTGTCCGTGCTCAATGACATAATCGGGAGAAGCCGTGATAATATGATCAATTAATGAGTCATCAGTGTCAATGTTGTGGTGAGTTGCCGCTAAGGGGAGAATTTGGAGATCGACTGACTCTATGATTGACCGAAATTTTTGAGAACGAGAAGGATTTCTCAACAAATCAGTATTGAAATCACCCATTATTATGCAGTGCGTGTATGCAGATGAAGTGGAAGTCAGGGCGCTTTCAAGAGCGTCGAAAAAATTAACAGCAGGTGGACAGTATACTACCCTAAGAATTGCCTTTACACCTTTGATATCAATTTCCAGAAACAGAAACTCCGGTGAGGCAGAATACGCAGATGGAGAAGCTAAAATTATTTTATAAGGGATGTTTGCTCTAAGGTATATGGCAACACCACCTCCTCCTTTTTCAATTCGGTCGTTACGCACAAGAACAAAATCATTTAGAGGATATAAGCTGGACATTAATGATGGCTTTAGCCAACTTTGTGTTTGTGTTTGCATGAACACAGTCTATAGAAAAAACTTCTGCAAAATAAAAATAATGACTTGGAATAATGACTCTATAGCATTCACTTACCATCAAGTTGACTGTATGCTCCTTTGTCACCCTTATTATTATTAATAAAAAAAATATTCCAAAGCTTGCACCAAAAAGACAAGAAAGCGAGTTAATAAAAACGTGATAAAAAAGGCCAGTGGTCGTGGTACTTACCGTTGGTGGTGGCTTCTCTCTGGGCGTTCGCCACAAGGGCTTCGCTGGCGACGGTGAAGTCCTTTCCCTCAGCGGCCAGTTCCGAGCTCAGCCCCGCCGTGTCGCTCGAGCACAGACCTGCCACACGACATATAATACCTATTTTATTTTATTTATTTTATGAATATAATCCAGAGAATAGGTAGGAATAAATGCTGTGACCCATAGACATCCACATCTGTCTTCAATTGAAAATCAAATTGCAGATGCGTGGTCACCCCTGAGGACTAAGATGGCATGCCTCGTTTCTAGTAAAAAGGGTCTCTGTTTCTCTACACTCACCATATGAGACAATGCAGTATTAAGCTGTTATTTTATGCTGGTATTCTTTGGGAGCATAGTCGTTCCCCAGTCGAGCCGACCTAATCGTGCTAAAATCATACTAAAACATATAATAGCTCAAGGGAATCAATTTTTTAAGTAACTTTAGAAAATTCTAATTATGATTTCCTTCTGCATTGTGGAGGCAGTTTACAAACATAGATTGCACAAAGACAAACATCCTGACTCGGAAAAATTATTTGTAAGCTACATACATGTTCCGTGTGGGATTCGAACCCGCGGCTCTGAGCGCCGCAACTCAATGAAAGAAAGAAATGCTTTTATTCCAATTTCATTTTTTTTTTTTGTTATAGAAGAGGGGGCAAACGAGCATGTGGCTCACCTGATGTTAAGTGACTACCGCCGCCCATGATCAACCGTAACACGTGCGTTGCCGGCCCTTTAGAAAGGAGTACGCTCTTTTCTTGAAGGTCCCCAGGTCGTATCGGTCCGGAAAAATCGCCGGTGGTAAACTATTCCACAGAGAGGTTTTACGCGGAAGAAAACTCCTCTTGAAACGTACAGTGGTGGACCGCCAAGCATCCAGATGGTGTGGATGGTATCGGGACGTTTGCCGCGTAGTGCGTTCACGAAATTTGGCGGCTGGGATTAATCCGAACAATTCCTCAGAGCACTCTCCATGGTATATGCGAAAGAAAATGCAAAGAGATGCAACATCTCTTCGCAGTGCCAGTGAATCGAGCCGATCGGAAAGCACTCGGTCGTCGACGATTTGAGCCGCTCTGCGCTGGATGCGGTCAAGTGGAAGGAGCTGGTACTGGGGAGCCCCAGCCCAGAGATGGGAACAGTATTCAATGTACGGCCGAACCTGCGCCTTGTAAATTTGCAGGCGGTGTGCCGGCATGAAATACTGTCCCGCTCTGCTGAGCACGCCAAGCTTTTTAGAGGCCAATTTGGCCTTCTCTTCCAAGTGACCACGAAACTGCATGTCACTCGATATGTCGACGCCGACGATTCCGATACTGGCTGAGCCAACAAGGGGAGTGCCTTGAAACTGAGGAAATACGACAAAGGGGTTCTTTTTAGTGGTTAACGCGCAAACTTGTGTCTTCTGTGGGTTAAACTGGACTAGATTTAGTAGCCCCCAATCCGAGACTCTGTTCAGCAAAGACTCGACTTCAGACACAAGTTTTACCCGGCACTCGGAGACATTTTCCCGAGAAATATTGGCTCGGCCGGTGTAAAGAGCGTTACCAGTGCTGTCATCTGCATAGCAATGAATGTTACGGGTTTGCAACATATCATTGATATGCAGAAGAAACAGCGTTGGCGATAGCACGCAGCCTTGTGGAACACCAGCATTAATAGGCTTGCACCGTCTACAACGACCTTGATGCCCCGATCTGCAAGAAAGCTGGTGATACAATCGCACAATTTATTGATGGGAGCTTCGAAAGAAGCGCTTTGTGCCAAACCCGATCGGAGGCCTTCGCAATGTCCAAACTAACGGCCAATGCCTCCCCCTTGGACTCTACTGCCTCCGCCCATCTGTGAGTTAGGTAGACCAGAAATCACCAGCTGACCGACCACGGCGAAAACCGTATTGGCGGTCACTAATCAGCTGGTGATCCTCAAGGTACCTCATGAGCTGGCAGTTTACAATGGACTCCATTGTTTTGGAGAACAAGGAGGTGATGGCGATAGGCCGGTAGTTGGACGGGTCTGAGCGGTCGCCTTTTTTAGGGATCGGGTGGACGAAAGCCGTCTTCCATGATTTTGGGACTACGCCTAGGGAGTAGGAGTAGGACAAAGACGCGTTAAAACCGGTGCCAACTCTGGAGCACACGTCCTCGGCACAATTAGGGGGATTCCGTCAGGCCCACTCGACTTGTGGATGTCCAGGGAGAGGAGTGCTTTGCGAACCGAGCGCTGTGTGAACTGCACTTACGGCATGGAGCACTCACACCGCGAGATGGTCGGCGGCGTACTCCCCCGTCATCGAGAGTCGAGTTGGACGCAAAGAAAGAGTCTAGAAGATCGGCTTTCTCCTTTGCGGTATGGGCCAGTGAGTCGTCCTCCCTGTGCAGAGATGGAAGAGATGGCTGACAGAAATTCCCCTGGACAGCCTTGGCGAGAGACCAGAATGCACGGGTTCCAGAAGGAAGACGAACTAGTTTCTCGCATTGACTTATATATTACTAGCGTAAGGACCGGGCCGACCGAACAATTAAAACGGACCAATACGTTGGCTCTAAAATTACAGTTTAGGGCCAACGCGAGTCGGTCGACAGTAGTGCGCGCGCAGGACAGATTTGCCTGTCACAAATATGTCTAGTTGCGTGGTAAAAGAATGCAAAAATTACGATACAAAGATAAGAGAAACATGGGATATCGTATCATCGGTAAATAACCTTATATTAATTTTGTTACAATTAAATTATTATACAAACGAATTTACAAAGTTTTATTTTACAGTTAGTTTAGTTACGTTACCAAGATTAGGCCAAGGTTGGATTCGAACCCTCAAAAATATTGTACATGGAAAATAAAATTATACAGTTTAAAAAATATATCACGTTTGACGTTTCATGTTTCTTTTTTACCCATGTGCCAAAATTTTGAGGTCACGCATTTTTATTCCTGTTTAAATTTTGTCTAAAGAACTTAGTGTAAGTTACATTTTTAATATGGTACCAAATATACTTTATATTCAATAAGGGTAAAACGAAAAGAATTCAAAAGAAAAGGATCGATCGAGCATCGATTGACCAGAAAGGGAGCTAATTCTAATTTTATTAAAAAAAACGCGGTACTCATATACAATACAGAAATTCTCGATACCGCAGAGATAATATTAAAACGTAAAAAGACCCAATAATAATACAAGTCGACCTTTAGGTAAAATTATTGTATCTTTTTCTTATTTAATGTGCTGGCTCCGTCGTGTTTTGATATGACGTTTGTATTATGACATATGCGCTACTTTTTCTTGTATGAAGAAGTTATGAGTAAAATATTTAGATGGGCCTATCCTTCCTTTTGAAATCATTGGTTACTCGCCAATTCTGCCTATGTGCTCTGACTATGCCTTGGCAATGACTCTTTTGAAGGACCTAGAGGCGGAATTATACTTCTTTTTTAGAGCGCTGGTGTTTACATCCCGGGACGCTGATGCGTCAGCCCAGGCTTGGTAGAACTCCTGCTTATAGCGTGATGCTATTTTACAGGAGCGACCAAACCATGGCTGAGATTTGCCTCTAATGGGCACCATAGAGGAAGGAATAAAAAGTTCCATACCCTGAAGTACCACATCAGCGACAGAATCCGCAACAACGTTGGGATCGTCCGGCGAGAAGCAAACCCGCCCCCAATGGTAGGATGCAAAGAAAAACCGCATCCCATCCCAATCGGCTGACCTATAGTGCCAAACACGACGGCAGCCTGCAGAATGCAACTGCGATTTCAGCGTCGAGTGGCACCACGACGACGACGGAAATCTGATATCCGTCCGGGTGAGAGGTCAGCAGAAGGTCCAACAGGGAAGGTGCATGATCCTCCACATCTGGAATCCGCGTAGGCGAAGTAACCAGTTGTGTCAGACTACATGCCAAGGCAAAATCATGAACAGATCTCCCCGCATGATCGGTTAAACGTGAACCAAGCTATTCGGCGTGATGGGCGTTAAAGTTGCCGAGGATCACAATTTCTGCGGAGGGGATCTGCAGTAGCAACGAATGTGTAGCCATTTGACCGGGGTCGAAGAGTCGGTCTGTTTCGGCATTACCGCTATGGGACCTATAGAGGCACCGGTAGATGCGCGGATGGTCGGCGCTGTCTACGCGTAGCCAAAGGATAAACAGGTCCAAACCTTCAAGTTTTGCCGAAGCGTCGAGAACAGATGTCCTCTCTGACGTAAACGCAAACTCCAGCCCGAGGCACAAAGGAGTGTTCCAGTTTGTACCCCGGGTAGGAGAGATACGAGACATCAGCCGGAGAGGACACCTGCGTCTCGGTCAGAAAGAGCAGAGCCGGCCTCGCCGTCTCGAGATGGTAATGGACGGCGTTTAGGTTAGAGTGAAGTCCCCTGATATTGCAGAAATTCACGGACAGCGTGGCAGGGGTCGCCTTGGTCTTGTTGCTCCGTTTTCCCCGAGCAGTTGTAGTCTTGAGCGGAATTTTGCCCCCCCTCACCCCAGAATACGCGGGGCAGCCTGAGCACCCACGCTCAGAAGTGGAGAAACATGGTCGTGGATGCACAGCGAGGGATTCTCCAGGGGTGCTGGTAGGTACCCTCCTGGGGTAGTCTATCATCATTTAATTCCGCTACCATGTTGATGGGGGGGGGGGGGGGGGATTTGGGCCTCCGGCCACCTGCACTCACCAGACGAAACGCGAAAGCAGAGCTTCCACTTCACTCCGATATTCTGTGAGGTCGTGGTACCACCCCGGTTTGAGCCGGCCTATGCAGCAGCTGCCGGTGCCGTAAATCATATCAGGATCCAGGAATTTACCTTACTATAAAGTATGGACGGCATTTTTTGTTCTTTATCAGTAATATATTATAGATAAGGTAGGTCGAATCTGTACTAAAACCGAATCAGAAAGTCCCGATTCCATGTAGTCTATAGTCTCTCATGCTATAAGCAGGAGTGCTACCAAGCCTGGGCTGATGCATCAGCGTCCCGGGATGTAAACACCAGCGCTCTAAAAAAGAAGTATAATTCCGCCTCTAGGTCCTTCAAAAGAGTCATTGCCAAGACAAAGTCAGAGCACATAGGCAGAATTGGCGAGAAACTAGTTCGCCTTCTTTCTGGAACCCGTGCATTCTGGTCTCTCGCCAAGGCTGTCCAGGGGAATTTCTGTCAGCCATCTCTTCCATCTCTGCACAGGGAGGACGACTCACTGGCCCATACCGCAAAGGAGAAAGCCGATCTTCTAGGCTCTTTCTTTTGCATCTAACTCGACTCTCGATGACGGGGGAGTACTCCGCCGATCATCCCGCGGTGTGAGTGCTCCATGCCGGAAGTGCACTTCACACAGCGCTCGGTTCGCAAAGCACTCCTCTCCCTGGACATCCACAAGTCGAGTGGGCCTGACGGAATCCCCCCAATTGTGCTGAGGACGTGTGCTCCAGAGTTGGCACCGGTTTTAACGCGTCTTTTCCGGTACTCCTACTCCCTAGGCGTAGTCCCAAAATCATGGAAGACGGCTTACGTCCACCCGATCCCTAAAAAAGGCGACCGCTCTGACCCGTCCAACTACCGCCCAATCGCCATCACCTCCTTGTTCTCCAAAACAATGGAGTCCATTGTAAACTGCCAGCTCATGAGGTATCTTGAAGATCACCAGCTGATTAGTGACCGCCAATACGGTTTTCGCCGTGGTCGGTCAGCTGGTGATCTTCTGGTCTACCTAACTCACAGATGGGCGGAGGCAGTAGAGTTCAAGGGGGAGGCATTGGCCGTTAGTTTGGACATTGTGAAGGCCTTCGATCGGGTTTGGCACAAAGCGCTTCTTTCGAAGCTCCCTTCCTATGGGCTTCCCGAGAAATTGTGCGATTGGATCACCAGCTTTCTTGCAGATCGGAGCATCAAGGTCGTTGTAGACGGTGCAAGCTCCGATTGCAAGCCTATTAATGCTGGTGTTCCACAGGGCTGCGTGCTATCGCCAACGCTGTTTCTTCTGCATATCAATGACATGTTGCATACCCGTAACATTCATTGCTATGCAGATGACAGCACTGGTGATGCTCTTTACACCGGCCGAGCCAATATTTCTCGGGAAAACGTCTCCGAGTGCCGGGACAAACTTGTGTCTGAAGTCGAGTCTCTGCTGGACTGAGTCTCGGATTGGGGGCGACTAAATCTAGTCCAGTTTAACCCCCAGAAGACACAAGTTTGCGCGTTAACCGCTAAAAAGAACCCCTTTGTCGTATCCCCTCAGTTTCAAGGCACTCCCCTTGTTGCCTCAGCCAGTATCGGAATCCTCGGCGTCGACATTTCGAGTGACGTGCAGTTTCGTGGTCACCTGGAAGAGAAGGCCAAATTGGCCTCTAAAAAGCTTGGCGTGCTCAGCAGAGCGGGACAGTATTTCATGCCGGCACACCGCCTGCAACTTTACAAGGCGCAGGTTCGGCCGCACATGGAATACTGTTCCCATCTCTGGGCTGGGGCTCCCCAGTACCAGCTCCTTCCACTTGACCGCATCCAGCGCAGAGCGGCTCGAATCGTCGACGACCGAGTGCTTTCCGATCGGCTCGATTCACTGGCGCTGCGAAGAGATGTTGCATCTCTTTGCGTATTTTATCGCATCTATCACGGGGAGTGCTCTGAGGAATTGTTCGGATTAATCCCAGCCGCCAAATTTCGTGAACGCACTACACGTCAAACGTCCCGATACCATCCACACCATCTGGATGCTTGGCGGTCCACCACTGAACGTTTCACAAGGAGTTTTCTTCCACGTACAACCTCTCTGTGGAATAGTTTACCACCGGCGATTTTTCCGGACCGATACGACCTGGGGACCTTCAAGAAAAGAGCTTACTCCTTTCTAAAGGGCCGGCAACGCACCCGCAATTCTCCTGGTGTTGCGGTTGATCATGGGCGGCGGTAGTCACTTAACATCAGGTGAGCCGCATGCTCGTTTGCCCCTTCTTCTATTAAAAAAAAAAAGTGATTTAGTAAAGCCGTGCGGAGGGAGAGCAGCCCCCGCCCGCTGTAGCAAATCAGAAGCATCTGTGTGAGGTGTGAGCATGGATGCCTGTGATTTGCTACGCAAGAGCGAAGGGGCTGCAATTTCTGCAGCGCCGAAGCCGTTTAAAAGAAGTGTAAAAACGGCAGTTGTCTTTTTTAAAAACAATTAACTATCACATTAATTATATACTGATTTTGAGAAAACAATTTTTGCATCTGCTTTGTTCTGAATAACGACTTTATTTTTATGACTGGCGCCGATGTAAAAAAGTAATGATAGACAAAAAGTTAAATAAAACCAATTATTTACCAACACCATACATTTAAGAAAATACACTTTAAAAATATAGGACTGGTTTTGAGTCCGGCAACTCGGATGGCTCGCAATGATCAAATGCGGGACTTTTTTAAATATTGATGTCATGGAGCCGTCTTGAATCCTTCACTTAGTTTCGTTTTGCTTGTGTAAGAGACGACTATGAGAAACGCCAAAAGATCTCATGACTTCCGAAAGATTGAATAACCACCAGGCTTACGTCAGACGTAAAATACTCAGATTAACTGAACCAAGCATATAGGCAGCAGCATCTTCCTAATAACAGCTGAATAAAAATAAAAATTGCGCTTGCCAACCGTTGTCTTGTATGATAGAGTTACCAGATAGTGAAAAGTCCTGAAAATAACTTGATTTCTATAGAAAAATCGTGATATCTTGCAAACGTAATCAACAAATCAATTATTGGTTTTGGACACTCTCACTACTTATATGCAATACTATTTAATATTACAATTATACTTCTATGCAAAAATCGTTGCAGTATTTTATTGAAAAGTCGAAAAAGCCCCACATTTCCAAAATAGTTAAAAATTAATAATTAAGAAATATTTAATAAAAATGCAAATAGTTAAGGAACACATCACTGAGGCGTTGTTCAGTGTACATATATTCAGTAAAAGCCGAAAAACTTATTTGAACGGCAACTTTTTAATGACTGTTGATAACTACAGTTCGCTCTTCTTCGCTGTGAATAACTTCAGTCCCAACCAGCGACTTAGTAAAAACAGAATAGTAAGATAACTCCCGCGGCGCGCGAGTCTTAAATGCCTACTGTTGCAGGGTTGTCACTGTCTTTTTGTTTAACAGCTAAGTTTAATTTAGTTTATAAGTAGTTATAATATTTACAAACATAATAAATACGGATACGTACATACACATGCATCACATTTGTTGATCATTTCTTTAGTTTCCTCTATAGTAAATTAACACTGAGCATATGGTGTCAGCTCAGATTTAATGTTTAAAATTAATTTGATGTGATGTTATATGATATTTAATGTACTTATGAGGTATGTATCTATGTATATATATAAAAAATGTCTACTGGCAAAATTTTATTAAAAGTCAACAAATTATCAAACAAAGGTGATTGCGGAACGCGGTGGGCCCGACTCGGCCCGATCTTCCCAACTTATAGCACGTGTTGTTGTGTGCGTACTGTGGCTCGTGCGTACGAGTCCGTACTGTTACGTGTCAGGCACGCACACGTACGTTTTAGCGGTGTTCGGTACATTTCTTAAAAGACTATTCTGTTTTTATTATGCCAGCGATATCTAGTGAGCGGAAGATTATAGCTCTCATTGATAAATGCATAAAAATTACGTAATTCTGATAATTTCTCTTTAATCCATACTTTATTCAAATTATTACATATATTTATAATTTTAAAAGTACTTTAACAGCTTTTTAGTTGAGACTACTTACGATGGTCTCAAGAATTAACTCACCTCTGATTTGTAGCGCTTCGGCGGACTTCAACAGGCTGGGTAGCTCCTCCTGCGTTACGTTCACCTCGCCCTTGTACATGAAGTCAACCAGCGCTTGCATTTCGCTGAACCTGGCAACACCAATAAAAAATGTTTATGGGTAGATTTCTTTTTTATACTTAGAAGATCGTCTTCTTGGTTCCTTTTACTTATTTATGTCTTTAAGCAGGAATGTACCCACTATTATGTTTTGACGTGATGGAAATAAAGAGTAAACACAGGTTACGAAGTATTCCATCTTAACGTTTAGGGTTAACAAGAACCGTATTTTATAATCTATACATTTAGTTAAGTTATAAAATTCAGATCGTCAATGAAGAATCAAAAGGCATGTGCTGTCAGTTGTGTACTCTTCATTTGTGGGGCGCTGGCAGAATAACAGCGTTGTGGGCAACTGCAACATTTATGCTGAGCTAGAGCCTATTCATTACTACACTATGTAATTATGGTAATTTCTGTGTGTAGTGCTTACTGTAATTTTATTAGTGGTAATGAATAAATGTTTTATTATTATTATGGGGTATCAACGTAGTTTTCTCATCTGGTTGGGTTCTATAAATATATAATTATAAATGAAAATGAAAAGATAAATATACATAAATATCAATAACATAAAATAAATATAAAAGTACATAAATAAGTAAAAGCCCAACCAGATGGAGGCCCTCGGCAGGGGAGACCAAACGGCCGAGGGTTAGGGGGAAAGGGAAAGAAACCGGCGGACGATGCGGGCGGTATCGAGGAGCACCGCCTTCTGCATTTGAACCTGGAGCGGTCCGCCACGTAGTCCCAGCCGCCTCAGATGACCCGAGAGGCTGACTGGGATTAGCCCGTTTGCAGAGACGACTACAGGTTATTATTATTATTATTATTATTATCATGTAATGGTTTAAGAGCAAGTGGACCCTCGGTTTCTGCCGGTCACCAAATAAAATACTATTATTATGACCAGATAACATTTTGCTACATATTAAAAATATATTCATATAATACTAGGCTGCACTAAAAGTATCGGGAATGGAATATTTCCACTGTTCCTGTCATATTAAAATCTTTTTAATTGAAAACTCCATGGTTTTAAAAATCGAATACCATTTATTTATTTAAAAAAAATTCTCGGTCTTGTCACAAGGTTTTGTTAAACTTGTTTAGTCGTTAAGAAAATGGAATTGACTCGAGAAAATTCAAGAGCGATGATTTATTATGACTTTCGAAGTGGTTTAACACAAAAACAGTATGTTGACCGGATGATTTCTGCATTTGGTGATGAAGCCCCATCCAAAACCACAATTTATCGCTGGTTTGCTGAATTTCAACGTGGACATGTCAAGCTCAGTGATGATCCCCGTCAAGGTCGTCCAAAAACTGCAGTCACCCAATAAAACGTTGATGCTGTGCATAAGCTGATTGACGAAGATCGACATGTGACATACCGCGAAATTCAGGCAACTTTAGACATTGGTATGAGTCAAATACAAATAATCTTGCATGAACAATTAGGTGTAAAAAAGTTGTTTTCCCGATGGATACCGCATTTGCTCTGTGAAGAGTAAAAAGCGGCTCGCGTTACTTGGTACGTCAGAACTCTCGAAAGATTCCACGCAGGACCCTCAAATGCTGTATACAACATCGTATCAGGTGACGAATCCTGGATATACGCGTACGAACGCGAAACAAAAAACCAGTCACGAGTTTGGGTGTTCGAAAATGAGTTAAAGCCAACAAAAATTGTTCGTTCACGGAGTGTTGCAAAAAAAATGGTGGCCACGTTTGTCTCCAAAACAGGCCATGTTACAACTATTCCTCTTGAGGGACAAATAACGGTTAATACAGAATGGTATGCTAGCATTTGTTTGCCACAGGTCATTTCTGAACTCCGTAAAGAGAACTGCAACCGCCGCATCATCCTCCATCACGACAATGCGAGTTCTCACACCGCACACAGAACAAAAGAGTTTTTAGAGCAAGAAAACATAGAATTATTAGACCATCCGCCGTACAGCCCCGACCTAAGCCCTAATGATTTCTATACTTTCCCTAAAATAAGGAATAAATTTCGTGGACAGAGATTTTCATCATCTTAAGAAGCTGTGGACGCCTACAAAACGGCCATTTTGGAGACCCCCAACTACCGAATGGAATGGTTGCTTCAATGATTGGTTCCATCGTATGGAAAAATGTGTCAAAATAGTAATGTTGTGTCACTTCCTTGATTCCCGAAATTTTCAGTGCCGCCCTCGTATATAGGCAGATTTTCGTCAGTTTCTCCGTGCCATTGTGCACGCTAACCTCCACAATGGTTAAAACAATATGGATGTGATTACCAGCATTTGAAACAAGCACTACTCGTAAATGATAGCCCAGCTAACAAATATATTTAGTATTTGTTTTATTAAGGACGCGTTTACAAAATTGATAGGTATAGAATCGCACTACTACATTGACAAAAGTCACACACACACTAGTGTACGCACGGTTGGCTGTGGGAATCGTAGTCAAATGAAATTATTTTGACAATTTGAAAGATTGAATTTGTTTTTTATTTCTTATACCTACCTCAGAAATATACTTCGATACGAAATACGAATACCTGCTCCAGAGACTGCTTGGCACTGGAAGCCCTCTACTGGTAGTGAGATGTTAGCTCTGGACTTTGAACTGGTTTTGTCAGTTATAATAAGACCTTACCTACCTGCGGACTTGATGGAGTGACCTGAAGGTGTAATTTGGTGATTACAACAGGAACTCCTAGACTAGTGACTTGATGGAGTGACCTGAAGGTGTAAATCGGTGATTGCAACTGGAACTCCTAGACTGGTAGAACTAGGTGTGCCGAGTTTGGGTTCGTTTTGTAGGTTATGATGAGACCTTACCACCGGACTTGATGGAGTGACCTGAAGGTGTAGTTCGGTGATTGCAAGTGGAACTCCTAGACTTGTAGGACTAGGTGTGCCGAGTTTGGGTTCGTTTTGTTAGTTATGATGAGACCTTACCACCAGACTTAATGGAGTGACCTGAAGGGGTAATTCAGTAACTACTGCTGGAATTTCTGAACGAGTAGAACTAGGTGTGCCGAATTTGGGCTTCGTTTTGTTAGTTATGACGAGTCCATACCACCGGACTTGATGGAGTGACCTGAAGGTGTAGTTCGGTGATTCCAAGTGGAACTCCTAGACTTGTAGAACTAGGTGTGCCGAGTTTGGGTTCGTTTTGTTAGTTATGATGAGACTTTACCACCAGACTTGATGGAGTGACCTGAAGGGGTAATTCAGTAACTACTGCTGGAATTTCTGAACTAGTAGAACTAGGTGTGCCGAATTTCACTCTATCAAGTCCGGTGGTAAGGTCTTATCGTAACTAACAAAACGAACCCAAACTCGGCACACCTAGTTCTACAAGTCTAGGAGTTCCACTTGTAATCACTGAACTACACCTTCAGGTGACTCCATCAGGTCCGGTGGTAAGGTCTCATCAAAACCCTTCAAAACGAACCCAAACTCGGCACACCTAGTTCTACCAGTCTAGGACTTCCAGTAGCAATCACCGATTTACACCTTCAGGTCACTCCATCAAGTCCGGAGGTATGGACTAGTCATAACTAATAAAACGAAGCCCAAATTCGGTACACCTAGTTCTACTCGTTCAGAAATTCCAGCAGTAGTTACTGAATTACCCCTTCAGGTCACTCCATCAAGTCTGGTGGTAAGGTCTCATCATAACTAACAAAACGAACCCAAACTCGGCACACCTAGTCCTACAAGTCTAGGAGTTCCACTTGTAATCACCGAACTACACCTTCAGGTCACTCCATCAAGTCCGGTGGTAAGGTCTCATCATAACCTACAAAACGAACCCAAACTCGGCACACCTAGTTCTACCAGTCTAGGAGTTCCAGTTGCAATCACCGATTTACACCTTCAGGTCACTCCATCAAGTCCGGAGGTATGGACTCGTCATAACTAACAAAACGGAGCCCAAATTCGCCACCCCTAGTTTTACTCTGCAAGAAGTTCAAATAGCGGTCACGAAAGTACACCTTCAGGTCACGCCATCAAGTCCGGAGGTAAGGTCTCATCATAACCAACAAAACGAGCCCAAACTCGGCACACCTAGTTCCGCTCTTCCAGGAGTTGCAGTAGTAGGTAAGTTTATATATCCTACTTATTTTTAGCTAAATAGAAAACTGTGAGTATAAAAATAATAATTTTATCACTTGTCAAGTACTTATGTTTCCAATTTGTTTTTTTCTAATATTTTGTGTATGTACAGCGATCTTTTCAGAATGAGCCGCTGCAAACAGGCGATACAGTATCCACTCACGACGGCGGCCGAGCGCGGACTGTGGTTTCATAGAAATATTTGTACAATAAATCAAAGCAAGGCACCAACAATAAAATAGCCCTTATTGCAATAGATTATGATTCATCCGTATTAGCAAAATATGTGAAAAAATGTGCATCAGTTTTTATTTTTTCTACAACTATTTGTGACATTTTGATAAAAAATAAACACAGGGTTTTTAATTGAATATGTCTGTCATCTTATAGTATTTTTTAAATTTTTTAAATATGTTGATAATAGACCAAAACATGTACCGAAACACAAGCCGGTATCGTTAATTTTGTAGAAAATGGCAACGAAAGTTCGTTTTTACAATATAAAAAACTACTATTTTCAACAAAAGAGTTACAGACGTTTGCAGATGAAGAACCAATCTATACATGGTAGTTTTCACTTATATATGATTTGGTTTAGTTTTGTCACAAAATCTACCGAAAAACACCCTAATTTTGGTTGATTTGCAAACGCGTCCTTAAAAGATGTCAATTTTAAAGTGCATATCGCGAACGCTCAACGTGACGCGTTTTTGTGTTTTGTTTAATAAAATAAATTAGTAGGATTTGTACATAGTTACAACAATGAAATCGCGGCTTGTATTATAATAAAACTACGAACGTATGCCTTATCACTGAGTGATTCCTGTCTGAGAAACTGGTAGTGGAAGAAAATTCGATATTTTGTGACGTTATTTACATTTTAAACTGTCATTTAAATCTGGTTTTCTGTGCGGTGCTACTCATCTATTGTCATGCTTTCCTATTCTCTTGCGTACAATAATTAGTATCATCATATTAAAGTGTCTCGTATCTCGTATTAAGGTCAGAAGCTGTAATTTTAAAATTATCAACTGCCAAATACTATATCTTTGAAAATATCTCGAGCGGCAGCAAGAGATGGAGTGACGACCTGGTGAGAGATGCAGGAAGTCGATGGATGCAGGTAGCTCGGGACCGTGCTACAAAACAATGCTTGAGGGAGGCCTATGTTAGCAGAACATTTTACTGTGCGGTAACGCTGTTTTAGTAAAAGTAAAAAGTAGAGTCTAGTTTAGGGTGACAAACAAACTCACAGTCCACCTGATGGTAAGTGGATGCTGTAGTAGCCCATAAACATCTACATTTATCCTCAATTAAGAATGAAAATGTAGATACGTTGTCACCCCTGAGGAGTAAGATGGAATGCCTCATTTTCAGTTTCTCCGGGTCAGGTTCTCAGGTTCTCTACACTCATCATACATACGAAACACAGCAGAATTAAGCTGCAATATTTGCTAGTACTCTGTAAGAGAGTGGTCCTACTCCGGTCGCGCCGACCCATTCGTGCTATAACCATAGTATATCTACAACGTGGCTCTACTACGTATAAAGTTGTAGGTTGTAAAAATGATTTACTTATCTCAAAACTTACCTCATATCTCTCATGAGCACGATGGGGTGCTTGCAAGGGTTCTGCAAGAGCAGCCGCTCGAGGTACGCAGAGCAAGCGGACAGCACGAGCTTGTGGCAGCGCAGCTGTCTGGACTCACACGCCAGGGTCACGTCCGCGAATTGCTCGGTTAGTAGTAGACGGGGGAAAACCGCCTGAGAGCGACACATGAAGTTAATAATTTCTATTATTATATATATTTTATGGACCAAGTGGTTATAAATTATAATACAGAGTTCATAATGTGCAGAAAGTTTGAAAAATGCCCAATATGAGTAGGCAACATGATAAGAACTATTGGAATAATAAATAAAAACTGTTGTCGCCAATCTATCTGCTAAAAATGGCAAATATGACAAATGGCTCCCCTGGGAGGCAATTTATGGGGGAGGCCTTTGTCCAGCGGTGGAATTTGATCGGCTATAATGATGACGTCGATGAATCATGGTACTTCGTGGTTCGTGTACATAATAAGTTATTCAGTTTGATGTTTAGATTATTTTATTTAAAATTATTGTATATCGTGATTTCTTATATTTACGCGACACATTTTTGCTATTTTTTACGGATTTTATCGCGTTGACGCGTAAAAACTAGTACTATTTAAAAAATATTGTATATCAGTTCAAAAAGAATATGTCCTGAGTGACTGACTCATCTATGAACACAGCCCAAATCGCTTGACGTAGAAATCTGTAATTTGGTCAGTTGCTGCATTTAATGACGTAGGCATCAGCTAAAAAAGAATTTTGAACAATTCTACCCCTAAGAGCTAAGAGGGTGAAATAGGGTGGACAGTCTGTATAAAACGTTTTATTTTATGGGGCTATTGACTCTACAGAAAGTGTTGCGTGAATAAAATAAAAATGTACACTCACCGGAACGGAAACTTGGCCAAGCGGTTATCTCGCGATAGCAAAAGCTTTAAGTGTTTCTGATGAATGTTTGTTATGCAAGTATGTCAAAAAATGTTTACCCTCAAGTTCAAGAGGGTAATTCATTATGTTTAAGTGCACCATGACGAATTCTTTAATTTTTAGTTGAATCGGGTCATTTGAGCGACTAAGTTCACATTTTAAATTTGTGTGTTGTGAAAAGTTTACTGTAAGGTTATTCAATTATTGTGATCTTGTGTCTTAATTAAATAACTAAAGGTGCTTTAAAGCCAATAAAAATGCCATTAACACCAGCACAAGTTGCACAAGCAGTAGCATTAATTGACCAAGGGCTGACACAGCGTGAAGTTGCTATTGTGCTTAACGTACCACGGTCCTCAATGCAGTATTCACTGAAACGATACCAGGAGACAGGCCGCTACACCCGCAGGCCAGGCAGTGGGGGCGTAAGGTGCACATCGGCCCGGGACGATCGTTTTATTGTTATGGAGATTTTGAGAAACCGCTACCTGACCGCTGTTGAGATACGCCAGCGGCTCCAAATCGCAAGAGGCGTTAATGTTAGTGAGCGTACGGTGAGAAGACGAATGGAGGAAGTGAATTTAAAAGCTCGTAGACCAGCACGAGGTCCAGAACTTCTCAGACAGCACCGAGTAGCCCGACTTCAGTTCGCAAGAGAACATATCAATTGGACCCACGAGCAATGGGCTAGAGTGTTGTTCACAGATGAGTGTCGAATAGCTTTACGTGCTCCAGACGGTCGAGAACGAGTGTGGAGAAAAAGAGGAGAGAGGTTTCTACCCATTACCACCACCCAAACTGTGAGTTTCCATGGAGGCTCAATAATGGTATGGGGAGGTGTAAGTTCCGACGCACGTACAGAGTTGGTCATCGTCGATAATCGGCTTACAGCTACTCGATACATCGAGGAAGTTCTTCAGGAGCACGTAATGCCTTATTCGGGATTCATTGGACACGACCAATTCCTCCTCATGCACGATAATGCACGCCCGCACGTCGCACATTGTGTAGAGGAATATCTGGAAGAGGTTGGAATACAAAAATTACAGTGGCCAGCTCGTAGCCCGGACTTAAATCCAATTGAGCATGTATGGGGTATGCTTAAAAGAACGATAAAGTCCAGCTCCAAACCGCCACAAACTCTAAATGAGCTCCGAAATGCAGCGCTGGCCGCTTGGGACAGCATACCACAAGTTGATGACAGAAACATCATTCAAAGCATGCCAGATCGAATGCAAGCGGTTATCAGGGCTAGAGGAGGAAACACCCGATATTAAAACTGATAGACAATAAAGAAACAGACTTAATTTTTAACTTTGTAGTGTTTTTAAAGTGACAATGGAAAGATGTTAATTTTAGTGAAAACATGTTATCTTGAAAAGAAAAATTTCGGTGAAGTAAACATTAAATTTCTATGTTCTAAAACCATTAGAGACACTTATTGAATGCATCTACCCTTAATTTACTGTTAAAAAAACGTTTCAGTGCAAATAATCAGCAAATTCACGAGTGGCCAAGTTTCCGTGCCGGTGAGTGTATTTAGTAACCCACAGCTACCCACAAGTGCTCGCGGTAGTAGAATCGACTCCGTATATTTTTACAATTTAAAATTATTTCCAGATCATTAATCTAAAAATTAACTCATTCAGTGCGACGTAAACATAACAGTAAAGAAGTGAGAGTGTTATTTTGCATTATAATTAAGCAATATTTTAAATATCATTCTAAAACTAACGTGGTTATAAACAAATTGTTCAAAAACAATTAATTACTAACTTATAAACATTAATAAACTTTACTGACATTTTCTAAAACTGTGAGTGAAAACAAAATTTGAAATTGGAAAATTTGTGTAAAATTATTGTTGTGTTAATTGTAATAATATTGTAAAGACGGTGTTACTAAATTTCAAATACACTCATTATTTCTACGTTTAACGAAAGTTTTGATAACTAGAACGTTATTTTAACTATAATTTGATCTACATTTGATTACACCATAATGGATTGTAACACATATGGTTACCGAACGAATTCAAGAAATCTGAGTTCTAAACCAGCCTAATTAGTTTATAGCCTTTTTTTATCAGACTTAGTTTTTAGTAGTTGTTTAATGTCGTAGTAATTTAAAATTTATATTTTAGTCTTAATTTATTTAATTTACCTTTTATTGTTTTGTTTGTACTTTGTATAATTTTGAACATTACTTCTGTTATTTATTTAATTTTTTATTTGTCTTTTTTTAATTTGATATTTGTTTAATTTTTATTTTGCATTGTAAGGTTATTAGGTAATTGACATATAATAAAATCGAATAAAATTATGGAAAACATTACAATGAGAAGACGAAAGAGAACTTTCTCTGACGATCCTGAGAACTTCCAAATAAGTCAGCCGTTAACAAATTACACTCTGTTTGATACAACTGGTCACAGTAACCACTTAATCCACGCCCTAAATAAATCAACTGTCGATCGAGTTAAGCCTACAATTGTCCTCAGTAAAAACGGAACTAGAATCAGCGCATAATGAAATTGCAGAACTAAATTAGCAGATTCAATTATTGAATTTAAAATTACAAGAGAAAGACAGAACTATACACTGCTTAAAAAACCTCACAGGATGATAAGATTACTTGCACATCCATTGCAAAGCGAACACCTATACCATTAAGCAAAAAAAATGATTTATTTTCAAACTAAGACGCCTAGAATATCACCACTGAATGCTTCTGAAATTATTTGCAAAAAACTTACATATACAACATGTAACAAAAACCCTGTGGTTCCCGTTAGGTGAGTTATCAGAATCAGTATCCAAGCGTATAGAAATATTTTTTTTTCAAAAAAATACATTTAAAAAAATTATTTTTAACGATAAAAATTAATTTACAAATTGTATGTGGTTTTATTTCCTCTAACTCGCACAAGTATCGGTAATGCGGGGTCTTAGACAATCCTCTAACTCCTCGACAAATGCAGAGATAATAAAACCACATACAATTTGCAAAAAAAATTTTTAATTAAAATAATTTTTAATGTGTTTTTTTTTTGAAAAAAATTGTTTCTACATGCTTGGATACCGACTCTGATAACGCAGTTAACGTGAACCACAGGGTTTTTGTTACATGTTGTATAAATCATACTAATATACGAGTATAACAAATGAATACAAAATTAAAAATGAACCCAAAGTTAAAGAGACTTCAGACCATGTACATGCAAAACAGAAAAAAATTACTATAAAGAAATTAAAAATACTTCGTCAACACCAAAAATCATAATCTTAGGAGATCAGCAAGTACGAGGACTCGCTCAAGAAATGTATAAGCAGAGATGTAAAAAGCAAATGGAACGAAATGATGTAAAAACAAATGGAATGGATGAAAAAAATATATACCTTACTACACCAAAATATCGCTGGGATTTTACATAAAAAACTTATTAGAATAGTATTGATATAATATGCATTAGTGAAACTTTTATAAAACAGGGTACGGAGTCTAATCTAAAGCTTAATAACTACAAATTAGCATCGGCCTTTTCAAGACCGAATCAGCGTAGAGGTTGGCACCTGCATATTAGTTAGGAAGGAATTAGATTATCAACCCATAAAAAACCTACCCAACTCGGTAATTTATACATTTAAATTCTGTGCTATTGAGATAGTTACACTAGGTATTTGCGTTGTATGTATATATCGGATTCCAAATTCTAATATAAAATTATTTTTTGAAAAATTTGAACAACTTCTAAATAAACTTACTAAGAAAAATAATAAAAGAATTATAGTTTATGGAGATTGGAACATAGATATTTTGAAAAATGATATTCATTCTACAGAACTTTATTCTATTTTATACGATCATAACTTAAATAACCACATTTGTAAACCAACTAGAAAAATGTGTATTGATTTGATTGCCAGTAATCTTCCTAATGTACAACCAAATATTTACTTTTTAGCACTATCAGATCATGAAACTTTTCAGGCAAACACAAATAAAAGTCATATTAGGAAATCGTTTTGGTTTGAGGAAAAAAGAGACCTTAGTAGTGAAAACGTGAAAAAATTTCTGTCCTATATTTCGACCTATCAGCCTCATATAAATTTTCTGATGTATACGACGCTGAAGATACTAATTTGGCTTTCAACATCTTTCATGACACTCTTACCTTATTTTATAATTTGTGTTTCCCTAAAATTATCGTAAAAATAACAAATTAATCTATTAAAAGTATGTGGATTACACGGGGTATTAAAAAATGTAGCATCACTAAAAGACGTTTGTATTTGAAATATCGTCTTTCGACAGTAAACAAAAAAAGAAATTGGAAAATATATTACAAATATACAAATATTTTAAGGAAATGCATTATGCAAGCCCAAAAACTGGACAATACACGCTACCTACTTAATTCTAACAACAAAAGTAAGGCAGCTTGGCAAATAATAAAAAACGTTAATAATGGCAGTTATTAATGACATTACTACAATAACCTGTAATGGCACTACATATTATCAGCCAGATAAAATAGGGGATGTGTTTAACAATTACTTTATAAATTTAAATAATTACATTAAAACACCAAATAAAATAATAACCAATAACGACTATATATCTAGTTTCAATACATAACACTGACATTATAAAAATTATTAATTCATTAAAAAATACAAATTCTACAGATTATGATGATATTAGTACTAAAATCTTAAAACAATGCTCCAAATATTTGTCTTTCTTACATTATCAATTTATCTTTTGTTCAAGGCATTTTCCCAACTAGACTAAAATTTTTCGTCGTTAAACCACTACACAAGAAAGGTGATAAAACTGACATAAACAATTATAGGCCCATAACACTGATATCTGTTTTATCAAAAGTGTTTGAAAAGGCCATACATACAAGAATCTATAACTTATTTAGCAAACATGAAATATTAAAACCAGAGCAATATGGGTTTATTAAAAAAAGTCAACCACTTTAGCATGTTTCAACTTAATAAAACTAATAACAACTAGCCTAAACAACAAAATACCTATAACATCCATTTTCATTGATATGTCCAAGGCATTTGACTTTGTTAACTACGAATTATTGTTAGAGAAACTTAGCAGATATGGTGTAAGAGGCAATGCACTAAAATTAATACAAGATTATTTCAGTCAACGAAAACAATGCGTTGAGGTATCAAGTTACTCAGGACGCCATAGAAAAAATTATAGATCACAGTATTGCGAAAATAAATGCAGAGTGCCACAAGGAAGTATACTGGGACCTTTATTATTTATAATCTATATCAACGATCTTTGTAACATAACTACTCATAAATGTGTGCTATATGCTGATGACATTACCATTAATATTGAAAATAATAATAAATTTTTTGACTACGAACATGAAATAAATAGAACCTTAGAAACAATAATAGATTGGTTAAGACATAATAATTTACAAATTAACATCGAAAAAACTAAGATGATAAGATTTCAGACATATAATAGTAAACAAGAACCACTTAAAATTGAATCTGGGAAAAACATAATCGAAGAAGTTGACCATACTAACTTTTTGGGTGTAACAATAGACAAGTTCTGTAATTGGAAGACACATATTGAAAGCCTATGTAAAAAGTTAGATAAATTTGTCTTTGTTTTATATCGGTTAAGACGAGTGGCTAACATGGAGGCCGCACTCTCTGCCTATCATGGATATGTTTCTTCGATCCTACGTTACGGCTTAATAATATGAGGTAATTCTGTCGATTTCATTAGAGCTTTTCGTGGACAGAAAAAAGGTCTTTATGCGGAGCACACCAATTAGATAGTTGTATTCCCCTTTTTCGCAAACATAAAATATTGCCGCTTCCAGCATTATACGTCTTGTATCTTTGTTCACAAAAATAGTAATTTATTTGAAAAACACAACGATGTTGTAATTAGGACTAGTACAAATATACATAAATTGTTTGTACCAAAGCAAAGAATACACTCTACTCAAAAAATGTATATTGTATGGCAATACATGTTTACAACAAATTGCCTGTTGTACGCTGTATATTTGTACGCTGGAAACGGCAGAATATATTTAGGATCGAAATTCTTTTGTAACAACAGTAATGTACCATATTCTGACAAATAAAGCATCTTATCTTATCTTTAAAATATATTCTCAAACACCAAAAATTTGGGAATTTCTCACCCGAAAAAAATTAATTATAACTAAACAAAACAACATTAAACAACCATTTACATTCTATAGATTAAAAAATAGATTGAGTTGAACAATTGATATTTTCAAAAGTTATCGTGTTTACCCCGCCATGCGGACTTGATAAATAGACACCATTAGCCACTAAAACCACTATTTTAGTGTAAAAATAACAACAAATCGATTTTAAAATCATTTATCTTTCTAACAATGTGCTTTTTTATATCATTTATATCTTTAATACCTATAATTGTTGGTTTCGATTTAATGCGACAAAACGTTGGAATCTTGATTTTTTAGGCGCTAGTAGAACATACCTACGCGCTTTGCGCTTAGGGCATGCAATTAACACGTTTTTTTATTTGCGATTATTTTAAACCCCTAACTAAAAAGAGTGGTGGAGAGAGGGTGATCAAATTCGTATGGAGAAAAAATTTTGCTTTTTTTAAATTAAAAAGTAATATTTGCATTACTACTCTTGTAATAAATAAATATTCTTATGTACACATTACACAAATCAAGAGATGTCAACAATCACGCGATATTGATATCGGTAAGACATCAAAAAAAGCAAGGCAGACGTTTCATCGTTATGGTATTGACCAATGAAGGAAGGGCCTCAGCCTTGCCTCAGCCGAATCACGTTTGAGACACGTGATAAGTGTCGATATAGGTTTTGACTAATAATGAACTATTAGGAATGAGGTTATTACATACGATATTTGTGTTTTCGAACAAAAATGCAATTCTATAACAAGTGGCGTGAATCTAGGATACCTAACTATAATGTCTACAGTTGCAAGGCTTTCAGATTAGTGTGCTACTCATAAACCTAATGTAGTCCGTTGTAATTATTGCGTGTTGTCGCTGTATGGTGACGGCGTGGGATCATTCTATAGCATCGTATGTGTCGTAAAAGACGGCAGGGAAACCGAAAAGGCTCATAAGCAGCAGTATCTTCTTGAAAACGGCTCAAAATTAAAAAAATGCGGTTGTCGTCTACCAGCCAAGCATTGCAACTTCTACTTCTTTAGAGAATAGAATAATGGGATGGGAAGAACCACCAAAAAACCCAGCGGGACTTCTTTTTTAATATAAATTTTACAATGTCAAGGGTCACAAAATAATCACAAAATTTATTTTAGAAACAGCTTGGAAGCGACCACCTTATTCCCAGGGATTGTTATCAACCATGTATTCATTTATATTATAATAACTCTTTTTACAAAGTTTTTACGTAGTATAGTCATGCTCTAGCTATATTATGATTCTACCACGATAAGGGTAGGATAGCAGCTTTTTTCGTATGGTGAGTAAAGGTAACCGGAGACCCTTTTTACTGGTAATTTAGGGGCGACGTTTGATTCTTAATCGAGAACAGATGGAATTGTCTATAGGCCACAACGCGTTAAGCTGCTATTTTAAGCTGGTATTCTGTGAGAGCGTGGTCCTTCCCCGGTCGAGCCGACCCATTCGTGCTACAGCTATACTACTAATATATCTGCAGCATGGATCTACCACATAGAAAAAGTATATACTGCAGCCCATAGACATCTATCTACATTTATTTTCAATTAGGAATCAAAATGAAGATGCGTTGTCACCACCTGAAGACTAAGATGGAATGCCTCGTTTCCAGTAATAAAGGGTCTCCAGTTCTCTCACACTCACCATACGAAACACAGCAGTATTAAGCTACTATTTTACGCTGGTATTCTGTGAGAGCGTGGTCCTTCCCCGGTCGAGCCGACCCATTCGTGCTACAACTATACTACTAATATAACTGCAGCGTGGCTCTACCACGTATAATGTAAAATATTGTACTAAAATAAACTCACCTGTAAGTTTGTGTGGTATGAGTTCCATCTAACGCAGAACTGTTGCGGAGGTAGCGCCATCTTCTGTCGATATGTCAAAACTCGACCACAGATTCAAAACTAGCGTCGTTTTATAAAATCATTTCTACATAAGTATTAAAATATCTTTGGCCGACACACTCTCAGTCCTTATAACATTAACTACACTGTTATTGGTAAAAAAATTGCACAGTGTTTATATTTAAAAGAACAAAAAGTCCACAAAACTTGCTCTTTATCACAGCTTTATTTTTAAGTAGAAATATTTTAAGTACAAGGAATACTCGTTTGGTTTTTTTATTTTAATAAGAAACTTTAAGACTAGACTGTATATATAGAATACTGGAACTCACAAGTTTATAGTTTTAGTTTGGATACCTGAAACAAAATAAATGCGCAATTTATTAATTATATTTGATAGCTTATATAATTTTAATAAAAAAATAATTTAAAAAATGATTTGATTTTGTTGAAATAGTATCTTTGTAAGCCTCCTTTTTTTACATGGGGAAATCCTCATGGACTCGTGTAGGCGTCAGACAGGTTATGCCGGACTCCTATTGGCCAAACCCCCACAGAGTTCATCTCTTCACCATTAGCGCCGATCCTCATCTGCTGATCTCGGTCTGATTTATTATAATGGAATGTGATTCGACCGAAACTTGACTGTTACGGATAATATGAATGCACACACATATTTTTTACTTGATAATATTTTATCAGACCGAGATCGGACCGAGAACAAATTGTGAACGGCATTATAATGAGGTTACCCTTAGTCAGAGCTACGGGAACGCTATTGCACACTACCACAACCCCGACGACGACAGCCCTTTCAGGGTCCGATTCAATCTTCTTAAGCCTCCTGCTTTAACCTGAAGAATTCCTTTGATGGACATGCTTTTCATATTGTCGGAAGAATTTTCTGCAATCGCCACGATTGGCGGGCGTATTGGCGATTGCTTTACCAGACATGTTGCACCGTTTGTTGCACTGTTTGACCTTTGACCGTCCCACTGTGAGCAATTAAACTTGGCTTAAACTTTTTTTGTTGTTGCTTTAATAACAGTAATAATCTATTTCGACCAATATTTCACGGTAAATTTCACGGGTATCATTAAATAAGTTCGTTTTTTAACTATTTTCTTTGGTCCGAATCGTCTCGCACTTTTTACCCATACTATATGTATTATTAGTGTATTTTTCCGTCATACTTGTTGTCATATTTTGTTTTGCTGTGCACACTTTATTGAGTTATAATAAGAATTTAGTTAGTATTAAAGATTGACTAGTTATAATATTTTTGTTACTGTAAATGTGTTTTGTATTTTCTTTAATCTGTTTGTGTGCCTTATTAGTAAAATAAAAAAATAACATAACATAAACATAAACACTCACGCCTGTCACCCAGAGGGGTAGGCAGAGACTACGGACTTCCATTTGGCACGATCCTGACATACCTCTTTCGCCTTCTTTACATCCATATATCTACGCATACATGCTCGTTGGTTAAGGTTACTTCTAACGTGGCCCATTTTCAAAATATCGCCAATTTGGTCGATAAACTTTTTTCTAGGGCGTCCCTTCCCGACTCTGCCGTTCACATCTGCCATATAAATTTGCTTTGTCACTCTTTCCTCATTCATTCTTTCTATATGACCAAACCACCGAAGCATTCCTTTCTTAATCCTGGTCACAACATCATCTTACATACCACATTTATCTTAAAATAAAAATAAAATATAATAATTACGTGTCTGTCCGCGATGAACTTTGCATCAACTCAACCGAGTTTAATGAAATTTTGTAAATGTGTATTTTTTGTTCCAACTTGAGAGATAAGATAGGTTTTCTCCCTCAGTATTTTTTATTTTTTTGAAAGAATTTTTAAACGTCAAAGGGTCGTTGGAATGGGCAGAACAAATACTGCATGGCCATCTAGTAATTACATTAATTGATAACTTTGTCTATTGTTAGTAATTAATTATAATAATTTAAAAAACGTTACAAAAGTATTTATAAAAAAATAAGTTAAAAAATAAGTGTAATACACGGAACATCATCACAATCATCATAAGGTAGTAAACTCATAAATAAGGAGTCATATGCCCATAGTTCACTGTATTGACTTTTACGTCAACTTAGATTTGTATAATCAAATAAAAATTTAATTATAAAAATACTGGCCGGCTACGGCTGACCGGCAAAAAGTTTATACTGTTTAACAAAATGCGCCTTGTAAGTAATTTAAAAATAAAACTGTTATGCACAAGCTTCATAGGTTAAAGAAAAGTTCTTTGCACGCGTGGAAGGGAGACAACGTACAACCGAGGGGAAATTTCCCACTAGTAACAAGCAAAAAGGAGCTTGAACATAAAAAATCAATATCAGAGAGCAAGGGGCCGGTTGACCCTAAACGTGGGCTTTCACTTGACTTTTAATGTTTTTTTAAGTCATCCGGATGAATTCGTTTTTAATTGTAGCCCATAATTTATAATAAATTATTAATAATATAATAGGTATAGACAAAGGACAATTAATCGCGATTTGATAAATATACTGTTAAACGGCTCTTACGATTGGAAACTTGAATGTACTTAATATGTCTGTATTGTATGTCTTTTTTTTGCCACGCTCTGTAGCCTAGGCTTGATGGATTTTGAACCGACTTCAAAAAAGGAGAAGGTTCTCAATTCGACTGTATTTCTTTTGTCTGTTATCTAAGAACTTTTTTCTATTTGAACCGAATTTCATGATTCTTATTTTATTTGAAAGCTGCTGATTTTCATGTATTTGTTTTTATTAATTTAATCATATATAAATTTGATCAAGATATGACTATATATAGTTTTTGAGTTATCCTTAATAATGCGTATTTAATTGACTTCGACTACATTGATGTATGTTCTGATTTTATTCATATTTAAGCCGGTTGTACAAAACTTTTAATTTTACCACATATGCTATATAATATTTATATATTTCATCTGCAAATACAAAAGGGAGAGTAAAGTTCTTTTTCAGTAAACTTTTAAACGCATTCAGGTTTTATTCATTACTGGTAAGATTAATAACCTTTAATTGTAATGAATTAGTAAGTACTTATTAAAATCAAACATTATTATACTTAATGACAGGGCTATTTGTGAGTTCGTGTGAAGGTGTAATTCAGCATCCAGATCACCTGATACGAGTAGTTAATATTGCAGCAAACAAATATTATGTCTATTGACTCGCTAAACGAAGTGTTTAGAAACGTAAAACGATTTATAGGCGTAATATTTAACGTGAATAGAGCCACATATTTAATTAGACCATGAACTTATTCAATCGATCGATAAGAGCCGAGCGGCATCGGTGAATTATTTATGTAGACGCACAGCCTCAGTCAGTTAAAGTGATAAGTTCTCACCCTGGTTTTGGACGACTGCCCCTTATGTCTAGTGGTAGTTAACGCGACTCATGATCTTGAAGTTCCGGGTCGGGTCATAGAAATAGAAATTTAAACTTTTTTATTCAATATAAATTATAAATAATACTTATTTGAAAGTCACTTTTAAGCTTAATTTACGACTAGTTCGTTAAATATCTCTGTCCTGGGAACAACCAGAAAGAAACCCGGCGGGACTCAAAGTTAGTTATTGGGTTTTTTGACAAGAAATTCACAGTACCTGCCCAGAGTCAGAATGTTTGCGGTGTTCCACCCCCGTGCCTCGGAAAGCGTGTAAAGTCGTTGGACCTGCACCTGATCTCTTTCCGGTCGTGTCGGATTACCGTCCAAACGGAATTTGTAAGTGAGGGAATATTATATACAGTGCACCCGTGCTTGCGCATACACTCGTGCACTATAATCCTATCGTGCGCAGATAGCTAGTCTCCGTTGAGACCGGCTGCCGTGACCGAAATTTGGTCTGGAGGACATTAGTTCAAGGTCTTAGCACTCGCCTTAAATGTCACAGTACACGACCAACTCGGATCCGATCAGAGGTTCAGGGGTCAAAATATATCTTTATACATATTTATACAGTCCAACCAGACGATACAGTAATTATTTAAGATTTGTAACACGCGTTGTCATCTGTGAGGATTTAGATGGATTGCCTCATTTAGAGTAAAATACTCCCAAGTTCTCTAAACTCACCGTACTAAACATAACAACATTAAGCTGCTACTTTACGCTGGTATTCTGTGAGAGCGTGGTCCTTCATGGGTCGAGCCGACCCATTCTTGCTACAACTATAAAATAGCTGCAACACGGCTCTATCACGTGAAAAACTGTTTGCTCTTCGAGCCGGATGTATGGATGTATTTCGACGTACCTAAAATTTTGTTAACCCTACGAACTGGATGGATATTTGTAACCGTGAAGTGTTGGCGTAGTTATCCACTACCCCATATCCTGACTGTCGTAAGAGAAGAACAAAAGAAATACTGAAGAAGGAACATGCAGCAGCAAAGTCACTCTTTTGGTTAATTTACCACTCGTTCGGAAAAAAACCTCTGTCCTGGGTAGAACCAGCAAGTAACCCAGCAGGAATTTTAATGAAAATAATTGATTGTCTATAAAGTCGGTTTACGGACGATAGTTTAACGTGACATAACGTCATAACAAAACATTGATGAAATAATTGCATACTTTTATGAATAAAATTTAAAACCTTCCTTTAAGTCCTTTATTTCAGCTGGTAGTACCTACATGTTATTACAAGTATGTACTTACGTATAATTAAAAAAAAAACTGCAAAATACTTTTTAAGTTTCATGAACTATGATCTTGAACCAGACGTACGAAAAACAACGAGTACTTAAATTCCCTATTGAGTTCGCTTAAAACAGTCCGGTAAAGGGAGTTCCATATCTGTCCAAAGATAAGTAAAAAAGACTCCCGACGGTGGGGTCTGGAGGGCGTCGACCCTAGGGGCGCTCCCGAAATAGCGCGCGCGGGGGTCTGTTGGCCCAGTACACGCGGTTTATATTTGGACGGAGCATTTTGAGCTTAGGAATCATCTTGGAATCGTGGAGAACGTATTGATTTTGTTGGA